GACGACCGACTTTTGGAAACACAGAAGAAGAGGGGCATTGAGATTATACAGGGTGAATCGTACACAGATCCTTGCTGAAAATAGTTGTATTAATGAATTGTTCTGCTTGCTTTTTTACAATCATGAATATTAATTGGCATTGATAAATTGTTCTTAAAAGCCAACCAGTCGACCGAATTAGGAAAAGCAAAGAAACTGTTTGAATGTAGGTTAATACTCTATTGGAACTTCGTTGGAGCCTTGGCAAATGTAGACTTTTATGTGGAAGACACGATCTAACTTGTCTGGTGCTGCACTTTTTTTTATAGTGCGGTTCTGGTGCTGCACATGTGGCCGCTCGAAAATAGAATCAGTATCGATAGACTTCAATGTGGAGTTTGACGAAGCCATGTCCTTGGAGTCTATGCAACATATGTTTATTTAAAAATAAATGTTTTATGGCTTTTTCTGTCTGCGTGTGCATGATAAATATTCGGCACTATAATGGTTCGTGACTACACCGTACGAAATATTAATTAAGATATGAGAGGAAAATGGGTTAGGCAATTAGTTAAGGTGAAAACAAAATATTAATATTCAATACTTCGTGTAAACAAATATGTAGCCTTCCGAGATGATCCCGTGAAAAGTTATATTTGAGAAAAAAAACCGCTCCTCATGCAATACCTCAGCGTCACAAAAATAAAGAAAACGCTCAATTCAGTTCTAAGGTTATTGATAAAAGTATTCTGTCAATTTGTGGCCTTAAATCACTTATAATTTAATATGTAATAACGGACGGTCGTGCTGAGGTCTCAAAAAGCCACAGTCTTGGACAATGGATCATGTTTATGTAAGGCTTGAACCGTTGGAAGAAATTGCATTTGTTTGTAATAATTACGCTGTTTTGGTATTTTAAATTTACCTAACTTTGACCGTCTGCTAACCCCGGTAGTTAAAGTCAAGCAACTTCACGTACACGACAAAACCGATCATGGAAGCATGGTTGATCAGATCACACAATGTGATATTCTTCCTGTCGCTGTTACCTTGGTACTTTGTAGATTTGCCACGCTGGTACGACCTGTGATGGGATTGTGCCTTTGATGATACAAGCATGGCATTTGGCATACAGTCAGAGTATGTCATGAGACAGATGTCTGGCTATAGGACCATCGCAGACTTGTCCTTTGGAAAAAAATATAGGTAGAATAACAAGCAATGGCAGCCATTTTTAAAATTTTAAAAATTGCTTGTTATTCCACCTATGTTTTTTTTTCAAAGGACAAATCTGCGATGGCCCTATAGCCAGATATCTTTCACATGACATACTCTGACTGTGTGCCAAATTCAATGCTCGTATCATCAAAGGCACAATTCCACCAAATACCCCTATCTGCCCCACTATTCAAGTGTTATTAAGAACGACTTCAAATGTGTCTTATTTGTTGAGTAGGTAGTTTGCTATTCATAATAACTCTTGGCGAACGACTGCATTAAAGAGTGCATCAGAATTACAAATACTGATGTTCGATGTAATCGGGACAGGCGAAAAAGAGGACCCATATTTTTAAAATGACCCATCTTGGGGTCAGGGTTGATATTCATACTAAGTTTCAAGTTTATGAATTGTACCGTTTGAAAGAAAAGATGCGGTGAATTTTGGGGCATAATTCCGATCACCTGATTCGAACAAAGATATATAAGAACGCAAGACAAAACCAAAAGGTAATAGGGGTCAGCCCGATAACAAATTAAATCCAGCGTCTTGCTAACATCTATATATTCTTGAGACTCCATGTTCCTTCTGAGGGTACAAGGCGCAGCTCGTTGAATACTAGTGCCGGTACTTACAAAAATGTTCTCGACCCAGGACGACCGACTTTTGGAAACACAGAAGAAGAGGGGCATTGAGATTATACAGGGTGAATCGTACACAGATCCTTGCTGAAAATAGTTGTATTAATGAATTGTTCTGCTTGCTTTTTTACAATCATGAATATTGATTGGCATTGATAAATTGTTCTTAAAAGCCAACCAGTCGACCGAATTAGGAAAAGCAAAGAAACTGTTTGAATGTAGGTTAATACTCTATTGGAACTTCGTTGGAGCCTTGGCAAATGTAGACTTTTATGTGGAAGACACGATCTAACTTGTCTGGTGCTGCACTTTTTTTTATAGTGCGGTTCTGGTGCTGCACATGTGGCCGCTCGAAAATAGAATCAGTATCGATAGACTTCAATGTGGAGTTTGACGAAGCCATGTCCTTGGAGTCTATGCAACATATGTTTATTTAAAAATAAATGTTTTATGGCTTTTTCTGTCTGCGTGTGCATGATAAATATTCGGCACTATAATGGTTCGTGACTACACCGTACGAAATATTAATTAAGATATGAGAGGAAAATGGGTTAGGCAATTAGTTAAGGTGAAAACAAAATATTAATATTCAATACTTCGTGTAAACAAATATGTAGCCTTCCGAGATGATCCCGTGAAAAGTTATATTTGAGAAAAAAAACCGCTCCTCATGCAATACCTAAGCGTCACAAAAATAAAGAAAACGCTCAATTCAGTTCTAAGGTTATAGATAAAAGTATTCTGTCAATTTGTGGTCTTAAATCACTTATAATTTAATATGTAATAACGGACGGTCGTGCTGAGGTCTCAAAAAGCCACAGTCTTGGACAATGGATCATGTTTATGTAAGGCTTGAACCGTTGGAAGAAATTGCATTTGTTTGTAATAATTACGCTGTTTTGGTATTTTAAATTTACCTAACTTTGACCGTCTGCTAACCCCGGTAGTTAAAGTCAAGCAACTTCACGTACACGACAAAACCGATCATGGAAGCATGGTTGATCAGATCACACAATGTGATATTCTTCCTGTCGCTGTTACCTTGGTACTTTGTAGATTTGCCACGCTGGTACGACCTGTGATGGGATTGTGCCTTTGATGATACAAGCATGGCATTTGGCACACAGTCAGAGTATGTCATGAGAAAGATATCTGGCTATAGAACCATCGCAGACTTGTCCTTTGGAAAAAAAATATAGGTAGAATAACAAGCAATGGCAGCCATTTTGAAAATTTTTAAAATTGCTTGTTATTCCACCTATGTTTTTTTTTCAAAGGACAAATCTGCGATGGCCCTATAGCCAGATATCTTTCACATGACATACTTTGACTGTGTGCCAAATTCCATGCTCGTATCATCAAAGGCACAATTCCACCAAATACCCCTATCTGCCCCACTATTCAAGTGTTATTAAGAACGACTTCAAATGTGTCTTATTTGTTGAGTAGGTAGTTTGCTATTCATAATAACTCTTGGTGAACGACTGCATTAAAGAGTGCATCAGAATTACAAAATACTGATGTTCGATGTAATCGGAACAGTCGAAAAAGAGGACCCATATTTTTAAATTGACCCATCTTGGGGTCAGGGTTGATATTCATACTAAGTTTCAAGTTTATGCATTGCACCGTTTGAAAGAAAAGATGCGGTGAATTTTGCGGCATAATTCCGATCACCCGATTCGAACAAAGATATATAAGAACGCAAGACAAAACCAAAAGGTAATAGGGGTCAGCCCGATAACAAATTAAATCCAGCGTCTTGCTAACATCTGTATTCTCGAGACTCCATGTTCCGTCTGAGGGTACAAGGCGCAGCTCGTTGTATACTAGTACCGGTACTTACAAAAATGTTCTCGACACAGGACGACCGACTTTTGGAAACACAGAAGAAGAGGGGCATTGAGATTATACAGGGTGAATCGTACACAGATCCTTGCTGAAAATAGTTGTATTAGTGAATTGTTCTGTTTGCTTTTTTACAATCATGAATATTAATTGGCATTGATCAATTGTTCTTAAAAGCCAACCAGTCGACCGAATTAGGAAAAGCAAAGAAACTGTTTGAATGTAGGTTAATACTCTATTGGAACTTCGTTGGAGCCTCGGCAAATGTAGACTTTTATGTGGAAGACACGATCTAACTTGTCTGGTGCTGCACATATGGCTACTCAAAAATAGAAACAGTATTGGTAGACTCTACATTGGAGGTTGACGGAGTTTCTAACGTCCTTGGAGTTTATGCAACATATGCGTATCTAAAAATAAACATTTTCATGGCTTTTTTGACTTTGCATGGTCATCATAAAATTCTCTTCGTCTGAGCTAACGAAGGAATGGATCGTGAGTATACTGTACGAAATAGTGTCTGCAGTAATGAGAGGAAAACTGTTATGGCGAAAAAAAATGTGAACATGGAGTAGAATATCAATACATGTATTGAATGCTTCGTGGGATTTAGTAAAAACTAGCCTTCCGAGGTGATTTGGGAAAATCAAACGCTATCTGGAACACAGATTCACTCTTACCGTGTCACAGCCGTGTGGTTGCGAAGGCCAATTTCTAAAGGTTACGTAATACTTAATTTTGAATGAAACAACATGCACACAGACATTTTATCACTTGACCAAAAGGCAGTAAAAGAAAATCGTTTTCTTTGAAAATAACAATTAAACGAGTGATGACCTGTCATGTTTATCGTCCCCATTGAACATTTGGATATCGTTGCTTCTGTTTTAAACGGTAAGGTGAAGGGGACGAACCGGTGTTCACAGGAACGGAGTACCTATCTCTTTTTCTTTAGCGATTGGGCCAGACTGGTATGCTGCTGTGGGGGGGGGGGGGGGGGGGTCGCCACACCTCCTCAACAGCGAGTCTGTTACCTTTCCAGCATTGAATAATGCCGGTACCCATTTAACACCTGGGTTGAGAGAAGTAATTACCCAAGGGCACAACATGCATGGCCATGGCGGGGCGAGAACCCACAACCTCACGATCATGAATCCTGTGCTCTACCGCTAGACCACACGTCCCCGTTTGAAAGTTAAATTAATTTATCATTGCACTTCCGGTAACACCGCAAGTAAATGTCAAGCGGTTTTGTGCCCAGAAATCAAAAGCGATTTAAAAGATTACTTTTTAAAGTTTGTCTTCTCTTTCAGAAATTTGGGTGACAACAAGTTGACTGAGATCAAAAGAGGATTATTCCACAATCTGACGAGCGTCATCACATTGTAAGTAAAAAAACAAATCCTTATATAAGAGAATTCGGTTTTGCATAGAGCTGGTCCGGTAGCGGTGTTTTTATCTGCAGCACACATCGTCAATGGATCATTATTATTCAGCTAGTTCGATGTTTATTCATAAGAAATAACAATGACGTCACACCATTGCTATCCCTCAGTCATGCATATACATTAAAGCTGTTCAAAGAACGGCTTTCGTCGAGCTACCACAGTGGCCTATTGGACAGTGGAATGGATCGCTAGATCTGTGGTTTGAACCCGTGTCCATTTTCATCGAATATTTTGTTGTTGTTTGGGATAAGTTTAATTGAAAGGAAAGGAAAAGAAAACACTACGAGAACCTCAGTGACTTCCATCCACAAAGCGTGATAAATATTCATGTTAGAGTGCGTGATGTGATTGGTTAAAATAGGATGTATATGCTGTAATAAAAAATTAAAAAAAAGTGGTCCGCTTTCGGTAAATCTGCTCGTAGTCTGACCAAAAGATTCTGACTATTTCTGATTAATCTTCGGTCAGGTAGCCTCCCGTTTTCGAAGCTGTCCGAGGTTTTCCGAATGCATTTCGTCGACACTCTCGGATAGCGCCCGGGTATTTCCGGGTATAACAGGTTATATTTACCTGCCGTGCTTATTTAAAAATGCTTAAATGAGTTGATTATGAATATTCATTGCTTGCATTTAAAAAAAAACAACCTGAAATTCAATGACGACTTTGTGCATCCGGTATTGAACTCGGATTGTACGAGGGGCGAGCTTTGCTGCATCATGTACTATTTTGAATCTGACGGCGTTTTAATACCTAGGGATATTCCAAAACAGGGCGTCATGTCCATTCGGCTTCGCCTGCTATTTGGGTCCCTAACTTTGAAGTTTCCAGCTCAACATTAGTCAATGTTTTCTTACAGAAATATCCAACTGTATGACATATGAAGCACGTATTTTATTTTCTATTTTTTTATCGGAACATTAAAAGTTTGTTATGATAAAGCCAAACCAGAAACGGAGCCGAGCTTTGAAAAAGGGCCATCACGGTTATTTTTAGCCCGGTGGCGGCTTCCTAAACTACAATATAGACGTCAGGGCGTCGGGGAATTGTCAGGACAGGGAACCAGACTAATCTGCTCGTTGTACGTAAAACTCGTCAAAGTACCCTTTTAAATAGAGATAAATGTCAAGCGTTGCTTGTAGGCAAGCTTCGACAATCAATATGAACTTTATATTTTGAAGAGATTAACTTGAACTTTCAGCCGATTGGAAAATGCTACTTGTTAGCTTCAAGTGGCAAATCAAACTTTAAACTCACTAGGAAATATAAATGACTCTCGACTGTCTAACGACTCTTACTAAGATCAATTTAAATGATGGAGTATAAAGGATCTTTGTTAGATCTTTCTTTGAGTGGTTCTGGAACAAACACCCACAATCAATAAGATCCGGGGGGATTCTGTCGCCTTCTTGAAAGTAATGGACACAATTTGCCCGAATGTATTTTCGCCGATTCAAAGAAAACCAAATAATGTTATCAATTTGAAGCAGGTTACCTGAACATTAAAAAAAAAATACCTGTCATTTTGTGTCTCTCATTGGGACCTAGATCTCTCCGCAATAACAGTATACGGCATTTTGAGGAGGACGCTTTCGCTGGTATGAACAACCTACAGACACTGTAAGTATCATCGTTCAAAGATTGTTCAAAAATGAAGGCATGTATGCAAAGTGCTTAAATTGATAGTTTGAAATTTCAATGTATCTATGTATTTTGTCAGCATTAACATTAAGAATTGATGTAAGGTGTAACTTGAAGACCAAAGTGTCTCAATAACGGGACTCTAATTTACTTACTCTAATATGCGCAAAACTTTCCATGATTTTGTTTCTCAAAATGTTTTCTTGTCTTTTTTTATGCAGCAAATTGAACCAGAATCCCTTCACATCAGTGCCGATTGGTATATTCGATAAACTAAGGAGTTTGAAAGCAATGTAAGTATCAACATAAAACCTTTCTTTTTTGGCGTAAAATGTTTGCAGTTATTGCATTTGTTCAATAAGGAATTGGCCAGCCGTATACGATGCAACCTAAAGGTCCTGAGGAGATTTTAAATGTATTGACTGATTTGAGCCAAGACGAATTGGGGTATTGGAACGTACGTGATTGAATGAAGTCAACTCCATCAAATAATACAGCTGTACCTGATGTGTCAAACTCATTTGGTGTGATAAAGATTATTGTACACTAAAACGAATTTTCATTTCACTTTGTGTGCCAAAGTTATGAGTTATGTCTCCTTCTCATCTCGTTGTTCAGCTACTTCGATCATTTCTCCTTGTGTGGTTATGCTCCTCACGTTCGTCTGTGCATGCCGAAGAGCGATGGCATCTCCACTGCTGAGAACCTCCTGGCCAACAATCTCCTCCGCTTCGCAGTCTGGTTCGTTGCCCTCCTCGCATCCCTCGGCAACGCCTTCGTACTCCTCGCTCGCTGTTTCGTCAAAGAGGACAAAAAGACACATTCGTTCTTCATCATGAATCTGGCTGTGGCCGACCTACTCATGGGGCTTTACCTTCTGATCATCGGTATCCACGATGTCATCTTTAGAGGAGTCTACATCCTCCACGACTTGGCGTGGAGGACAAGCTCCGTGTGCAAGCTGAGCGGGTTCCTTAGTCTTCTCTCCAGCGAGGTCTCCATCATGACTCTGACTGTTATTACAATGGATCGTTTCCTGAGTATCGTGCACCCGTTCCGGTTCAAGAATCGTAGTCTGGTCCACGCTCGTCTTCTGATGGTGTTGCTATGGCTACTCGGCGTCGCCTTGGCAACCATTCCCTTGCTGCACACCGAGTATTTCGGGGAGTTTTACTACGGGGGGAACGGCGTGTGTCTTCCCCTTCAGATCGACCAGCCGTTCGCGAATGGGTGGCAGTTCTCCCTCGTCATCTTTGTCGTCTTCAACCTCGTGGCCTTTGCATTCATCTCCTACGCCTATCTCATGATGTTCGTTACCATCCGGCGGTCCAATCTGGCCATGAGATCGACCAAGAAGAACCAGGACTGGGCCCTGGTCAAGAGGTTCACCCTGATCGTCGCCACAGACTTCGTCTGCTGGATGCCGATCATAATTGTTAAATTTGTAGCATTGGGAGGTAATTTTCCCGCTCATTGCAATTTCATTCTTCCCTTTTTCTATGAAGTAAATACTGTAAATCTGCAGCACCTCGTCAGTCAAAATACTAACAATTACCTGCTATGGATTTTGACTATAGTGTTAAGCCAAGGTCATTTTACAAGTCTTGATACTTTTATTCGTTGATCGCTTATAGACCTTTAGCAAGCTGCCACCATTTCAGTCATGTTCCCTGTATTCAATAACAGTACTGAGTGATAATATTTTGGGTGAAAAAAAACCAGACTATTTTTCCTTCCAGCCTCGCTTTGGTTACGTTGATTCGAATGGGAAAAATTCAAGATGGCGGCAACATGATAATGGTCTATCTACAGCTCTGTAATCAGTCACAATTAACGTCTTGTCAATCACTCATATTTGTCTTCTCCCTGCGAATTATCTTGCTCAAGAATACAAGCATGGTCGGCACTGGTACCTACATGTTTAATGTAGGTTTTCCCAGCCAATTTCCTAAAGTCTTCATTTACCTCTGAAAATCAGTCTTTCATTTTCGTCTGAATTTGAGAATCGCTCTGAACACGCGTTTCATTTTCGCTACCAGAGCATTCGATTCCATTTCAGTTCAGTTAGTTAAGTGATTGAGCAGCAACTTTCGTTTATGTCCATTCAGATTCGTTTGCAAGACTTCTTTTTCGCTTTTAGAAGCTGATTTCAAACATTCACCATTCCATTTCACTTTTAGTTTAATGCCATCGGCACCAGATACAATAAGGGGGGTCTTTTTTTATTAACCGTCAATCAAATTAGCTGTACCTGAATTCAATTTAAGGACGAAAATGAATCGGACCGATTTTCAGAAGTGAATGAACATTTCAGGAAATTGGCCAGGAAAACTTATATATCAACCATATGGAACATAATTAAGAATACGGTTTTCAAAAAATGAAATAGGGCTCCCTGATCAATTTGTGAATTATTTCTATATAGGTGTGAGTGTTTCGAACAGCGTGTACGCCTGGTTTGCCATCTTTGTGCTTCCGATAAACAGCGCCCTCAATCCAATCCTGTACACCATGACAACAGTGCTCTTCAAGCAGAAGGTCTTGGCCCCGCTCGGCATCGTCCGGGCCAAGCGGAAGAAAGGCTACCTCACGGGCATCTCGGTCGACGATACCTCCACCATGTCCAAGAACTCCGGGACGAGGCTGTCTATAATCTCCACCAAATCTCGGGGTGGCTCGGTGAATGGGCGTTTCAGCTCCCACAAGGTGTGTGATACAAATGACAAGTTTGAGGTCCAACATGAACACGGGTAGGCCCAGACTGGGACCTTAAGTGCTCAAAACGATGCAAAAGAAGATCAAGATCTTTATTCACTCTGTAGCCAGCAAATTTCTCCAAAACTGTCATTGGGCAAAGATAAGTTCCCCAGTATTTCAGCAACCAAGTTTGAAGACTCAATTCAATTTTTAAAGGAGATTTTTTCTCTCAATATTTTGGCAATGGCTTGCACATGAGAGGAAGTCAAGTGATTTCAAAATAAGGCTAAAAAGACTAGACTTCTACATGTCCATCCATGGTCCAACTGTTTGACAAGACTGACTTCTTCATTTATTGTCATTAGTCTGGTGCCTGACTATGGAGAATGTGTACAAAAAGTGACCTAGTAAGCGACATCCTAAATATTTCTTTTGGCACAGTCAGCTGAATGTTGATTGATGCAGTTCTGGTGCGGTGCTGGACTAGTTGTTTTAGGTGCCAGTCTATTTTCTTGTATTACATATTTTGCAGTATCTTAAGGTTTGGGACTCTCTTGAAGTATTGAGAGTAAAAGAAAGGGAATATACGACATTTGCAAACATCAAAACAAAACTACCATATTAGCACGAAATACCTTACTGGACTGTTAGTGAATGACAGTCTAAGGCTTCCTGTAAAATCATGGCACCTGGTGTGCTGGCATTTTCAAAAAAGTGGTATTTTGTATCAAATCCAACGCTGATCGGCCGACCAGCGTTGGAGAAGCCCTGGCTTTTTCTTAAAATACCGCTTCGAATTTATCATAATTTAGTTTGCCCACATTTTTTTACGATTGATTTCACACCTGTTATCGGGTACAAGCCAGCTAGACTGTTCCCTGACCTTCCAATTCCAAGAGTCTATAAATTGCTCCGTTTCATCTTAAGTGGCTTCAGGGAACCAGACAACAAGCACAAGATTGTTTTCCTTGGTTTTTCCAGCATCTACGAACCCAAAACTTAAAAAAGTCACTGTAACAATATTTTCGATAAAATACTATCCTTCCCACCCCAAATCCATTCATTCTGAAAATTACAGCAAAAGCAACTGTTGTATATTCCCTTTAAAATCAGGTCAGAAATACTTATTAAAAAGCTCTATTTCATTATTTCCTGTTCGGTCATAAGTTTATAAAAAGAGACGTCTGGAATGACATCAACTACACTCTTAGAAGTAACATCATTCGCAACCCCTTCCCAACACATATCCCTCCCTTGCTTACGTAAACCCCGCGGTGACCCTTCAATTTGGTTCATTTGTCTCGGCCTATTTCCAAGAGGTTTTGCTGAAGTTTAGTTCATTTTGTTGAATTTGATTTCCTTATACTAAGATTTTTCAATGTAAAATATCATTGTTGTCCGTGAAAGGAACTATAATGTTATGTGCAAAATAATGGGGTTTTTTTGGTTTTGTTGAAATTCTGGCTATTCAGAATGCAGTGCGCCTCCAAGAGTTTACCACGGAGAGTTCATTTTTTTCCCAGTGCATTGTGGGAGATGGTCCACAAATTCGCAGAATGGGACGTTTGAATTTTTTTCCGGTGTGTAGTTTCGTAAACGTATGATTCGAGTATAATGTTTGCCCTTTTCGTTTTTTACCAATATGGTGATTTTGTTTTGCGGCAGAACGCTATGCCCCAATCTTTAACAAATTAGCTCAAGTTGTGTGCTGCACTCGTTCAAAATGGGCCATGTTTTGTCGACCGTAAACTTGAAAAAAAAATGGACTCTCCATGATGGCAAACCTTGGTGGCGCACTGCATCGTGAATCGCCCGAATTGCATTTGTAACTCGCTAGTAACAGTTTTTTTTTTTTTTTTTTAAGTACTGGAGTAATGCAAAACAATGACTGTTGGTGAATTTTGTCTAAGATCGCTTCTTTGCACCTCTCCTTTCACAAATCACACCTCTTCACGCATCACCCCACACCACAACCGTGATCACGTCACGCACCACCACAACCGTGATCACGTCACGCACCACCACAACCGTGATCACGTCATGCACCACCGTGCACACAATGCAACAGGTATTGTCCGTGAAGAGGTAAGTTTACTAGTACGGCAGATAAGTGATGGGATATTGTGCCTTTGATGATGCAAGCATGGAATTCAAGTTGGCACACAGTCAGAGTATGTCATGAGAAAGATATCTGGCTATAGGGCCATCGCAGATATGTCCTTTGAAAAAATAAAGTTACAATCACAAGCAATGGCAGCCATTTTGAAGATTTTGAAATAGACAAAAAATCCGTCTGCCGAGCTCATTAAAAAAAGATATACACTCCAATTTTTCTATGATATTAAAGCCATCTGTGAGCCATGGAATTGAATTGAAGAAATATGGCAATGGCCCAGACTTTGGGCTTCCAATTCGGAGCATTTTGGAAGCAATTGGGCTCGAAAGTGGCGCTATTTGGCCATGTTGTGGAGAGATCCGTTTGGAAAACATCATTCGTTTTAGGGGTCATCTTTGGGTGAGAATTTCTCGAAAAGTCATCGGTCAACTCAGCAAACATTGAAAAGAAAATGAAAGATGACTTGATCATCATTTTTTCTGTGCAACATGAACACCAATGAGAATTTTGAGTATTTTAAACGAATTTTGAAGCATGGGAATGTATCACTGTTGTCTAGGGGAATATATTTGATTATGCACCCTGCAACTGCGAAGGGAGTAAATGCATGTCTGCTGCCACTAAGCAGTCAAAAATAAACACACTTCTCGCTTACATGTTTTGTCGTGACTATATTTTACAACTCTACAGAAGCTGAAGAATTTTGATTCACTGGATTCTTCTGACGAGTCGGTCATCTGTACCGCAACTAAAACAACCACCAAGAAACGCGCGGTGACCGTCGAGTATCACCAACTGCCAGTATCGGATTCAGATGAGCGCCCTCTTGCGTCAACTGTGACATAAGTGCTCAGAGAAACACGATTTTACTTGTGAGAATTTTAAGTGAGAATTTTACTGCAGCCTATCATTTTATGAAAATACCGACATGTAAATCAAACAGGAATATTTTTGTAAGGAACAAAAAGTTATTTTTAAACAAAATGCTGACATAAGAGCCAATTTACAGTAAATTATTTTTTTCAGGCACTCGGAAGCACCGTTGCCGATGTATAAATAAGCGGCAATGAGCCTCTGTACTGATGACGTCACACTTTGTTTACATGTGCACTTTCCTATGGAGCCAGTGGGGCAATGTACGCCAGATTTGGCGCTAGTTACTGGACCCCATTTTTTGAAGTCCAAAGGACAATAGGGTCAGGGAACCAGACTGCGTAAGTGTCAATTGCACTTTTTCTCTGTCGTTAGTGAATTTGTGATCCGCAGGTACATGTACTTGACCATTGTGCGCCGAAAAAAACTCGGCGATATATTTAACAAACTTAAATAAACCTTAATGTTCAATAGGGAAACGTTGCATTTTTTGGGAAGAACGTTGTCAACTCAAATTATTTATTTTGAGTATATATATATATTAACTAAACTGTGACATGTTGATTATTGATATTTATTTGTGAGAGTGTGCAGTTTGCGATGTAATAGATTATTGGCAAGTTGTATCTGCGCTGTAAAAATATCAGTAGGCCCCTTTTTGTGTTGTTGGAGACAAAAAGTGATTACTCTTTTTTTATGTGATATTTATTCGAGGCGCATAAACATTTTATTCTTTAATCAAACCTCCTATGGAAACGTGCATTGTCAGCCTGGTTATTACTTGGGTCAATATTGGTCAAGACCCCCGTTGGTTTGTACACAGTATGCCAGGAGGTGAGGAAGAAAATTTTGACCGATTGTGACCTCTTAAATAGCAGGAGGGTTAAAGAAAACATACCACGGATCTTGATGAACAAGTGTATTCAAGGTATAGGTCCTGTATCTGTCGTAAACTAATCAGAAATGTCATGAACTGAAAACTTTATGAGATTGATTTTGTATCGTTTCGGTTTGCGGTAACACCATGTGGTAGATACTGATACTCCACCATGCAAAGCCTAAAATCTTATAACATGATTTTGTAGATTGTGTCAAAATTTCAGCATTGCAAAGCATTGAGAATAGCAACAAAAGTTTTTAAATCCTCGAGAAAATTTTAATTTCATATGCTTGCTCTAGTGCATACACTGTATATATATATATAATGTTATTCATTAAGACTATTGTTACTATGCGGTGCCTTTAAAATATATATCTCTAAACTAAAACAAAGAGCACAACATTTCTCCGATTTTTGACGAACATACTTCAATTGTCGAACCTCCTCAACTTTGATTCGTGTATTTTTCACCCCACATTTTCGTTAGCTTCCGATTTTAAATGGGACATAATATATATCTCTGCTAATCCCATTCTTCTGAAACGGCCTTCTTTACCATTCTCGATAACATTTTTGTTTTCTAATTCTACATTTATCAACTCAAACGATAATTTGTTTTATAATCTACAAGATATTTAAAGGGACACTGCGTCCTGGAACGCCCGATTGGGCTACAAAACGCGCCTTAAATTATGTTAATCGGAAAGACCATTTCAAAGTAAGTACATGTACAAACATCCACACAACTATCGTTTAAAAACCGGGCGTTTAGTGTGTTGTTCTTGTGTTATGCGTGCGAGAACGACTTTCTGGGTCCACTTTTGCGACCCCAAAAAGTCGAGCTGTTTGGGTGATATAGTTTTGATTCCAGCCGTAAAGTGGTCGCCTTTTGCGGACGTGTAAACAAAAATTGTGCATTGGTAATTGACACGCGCAACGTGTATCGTACATTGGCTGAAAACGACAAGAAAAACGTATGCGTACTCCGTCGAGTCCGATGTAAACTGGGCTTTCCGTATTTCTCGAATGTGTTGGTTTCCTTTCAACCAGATGTTTGAAATAGGATAAGTAAACGATCCCAACAAAATCGGGGATTTCAGGACGCAGTCGGTTGTCACTTCAGCCAGATTTTGTCCAAAGTCAAACACCAAGACCTACTGCTTAATTAAGCGTACAAAAAGCTTGCAAACAAGTCCACCAAGTGCACAAAACGAAGACAAATTCACGAAATTATTTTAACACCGAAAAGAATACCAATGCGAAACCTATTTACTATTAATGTACATACGATAAATTTAAATATTAATAGTTATACTTAACTGTTCAATGTATATGTTCGTAAATAAACTGTACAAAATGTAACAACATTGTTAATAACAAACGAAATTAATGTTAATAAGCGATAGACGAATAATTATTTTAGAATACAAGTGACCCATACATTCAGTTTCGTGATTGCTACATTCTCGTTTGTTGTAAATTCTTCTTTGCTGTCGTTTTGACAGTGCATGAAAATATAGGGTGAGTAAAAAAAACCCAAATGGCAGGACCCATTTTTGAATGAAGTTTTGCCGGTAGCCATTTCGAAATCTAGGATAAAAATGTCCAGTTAGTAAGCATTGTTTTAGTACAATAATCAATCACTCGTTTACTTTTCAATTTACGGAATTTTGAACCCAAACACCGTTTTAAAGTTCTATCCACGGATCACAAACAAGTAGGTATTCCTTCAGTAGCACAAAAACAATTTTCAAAGAGATGCGTGTGAATTGTTTCGTTTTGCTGAAAGACACTTATTTTTTTTGTGATCCGTGGACAGAAGTTTGTGTTCACAAATCCGTAACTTGAAAAGTACATAGGTGATTAATGATTCCTGTACTAAAAGAAAGCTTATTATTTGGGCTTTCATATTCTAGGCAAAACTTCAGTCTTCATGTACGTTAAGTTAGAACTTCATGCTATGTTAAGTTTTAAAAAAAAACCTGTTCGTGTTATAAAATCGACTAGCACACAAAATGTCACATTTTATGGAAAGAGATGATCTGGAAAGCCTCAGCCATCTTGAAAATGTAGCAACTATCACTATTGAATTCGGTTAAAAGCCAGCGACATTAAGAGTTAACAATCAATAAGAGGTACATGCACTTTAGACAGCAATATGCGCCCACGCATCAACGCTTCCGTCAAGGCTACAGTAAATGCATTGATCATATGATATTTACAACAATTTCCATCAGAGTTTCACTAAAATACCTGAATAATGAACAACCATGGGCGTCGCGAGAGGGGGGCAACGATCGTGTCCTCGCGTGTTAACGATGGTTGTTGCCGTCAAATCCTCTTCAGGTTTCAACAAACTGTCCGTTTATACCAAAGGTCATTGGTGAGAACGGAATGAAGTCGCAAAAACTAGGTCTTAGTGAATACAAGCGTTGAAGAAGTCCCATTGCGCCGGGCCTCCGCCAAAGATAATGTACAACGCGCTGCCCGAAATTGGGTACCTACTTGTCAGAATTGTACACTTTCCCTCACGTGAAATACTCAGTATGTCATCTTTGAACGTAAGCCGAAAGTGATAAGGAATTTCATTCGACCTCAAGCCATTTATTGTCCTATCTTGACTAGGCAGTGATCCCAAAGGCCTATAATGCAGCCCAATCGAGTTACTCTCGAAAGCAATAATAGCTTTCAGGTAATTGGAACTCAATATACCGCCATTTGTCATAATCCAAATCAGAGATCTGGCACCTTTCAGAGTGAAATCAAGATGCCAATTGCTCGTATTAATCGGAAGGAATTTACCATAAATCCTTGATTCATAGACAGTGTTAAATTGACACGGGCTGGTGTACTTGCCTCGTTCCTTCATGAAGCTGTGCACGTCGGGTGTGGTAACCCAGTCCCCTGGGAACAAGGTATCCGTAGTATTGCTCAGTTCACACGACCGGTTGGCGGGATGGTAATTGATGGAGCAACATGTTTCCGATCTCAGGCATATTCGGGCGCATTCCGTGAAGTCAGCTTGCGATCGCGAATACACGTGGCCGCGAAAGGCATAGTTGTTTTTACCGTACATTGTCCGCCTCTCGTTCAGGCTCAGTGACACGTTGTGACAGGGGTCGAAATCGGGATCCTGACCCAAGCTTACTGCCATCAGACACCAGACAACTACCACAAATAAGACATTGGCCACACGGTGCTTCATGATCATGAGCTGCTTACTTCGCCTTCTCCGCCTCCGAGCCGGGCTTATCAAATTCCCACCAAGAGAATTGACATGTATAGGCTGACGATGCCAAGTTGGTTTGTAGGGCTCTTGAAACGTCTTGCCAAAACTTGTTGATTACAGTTGGGATGAACAAGCAAAATACCAAACTATGGTAACTTCGGGTGCGGCATGCATGACAGGTCTGAAGACTACTCTCCAAATCAGCCGTCTTTAAATAAAAAAAGCTTCGGTAAGAAGACCCATTGGTCATCTTTTTTTAAATACCTTCCTGAAGTAGGCCGAACTGGGCGTCAATAATTAACTTTAATTGGCTGCTTGGGGTGACCTCAACCAGAATCTCCTTGATTATTAAACTGTTTGGTTAAAAGGTTTTCGGTACTTTTAAGGGAATATTAAAGTGAGCATAAAGGCACTTTATGTACATGCCATCCTCCCCATCAGACCGCTAAGTGTTCGCGTTATTCGATTTGTTCCAGTGGACCGTGTGCGATCGGCGTTAATTATATTATTTGATAATCGGTACCATATGAAAGACAACGTCATGCTTGGGAAAAAAAATGATATGTAGGTTTGGAGCAATCTGTTTCAGGCTCCGTTGGGCTTCGATGCACTGGACCTCCGCGGCAGATTCTGCATACTACTACCTTCGGATAGTTTTTTCGCGTTTAAAACAGTATATTGTTTCAGTCATTTTCTTTTTTAGGTTTATAGTTTGACGCTTTCCCATGAAATTACATGTCCCAATGTTACACATCATGACAAATCACTGGACGAAATTTCGAGCCAATGTCTGGAAATTGTTGAGTTATTTCCCAAACAACGAAATTGTTCTTTCTGTTCAATCGTGAGGCATTCTTGTTGAAATTATTTTAAGAATTCACGTGGCGCAAGGACTAAACCACTGGGCCCAAGCAGTATTGTCAGGAACAGTCGAGATGAAAAGGCACGCATTCGTAGCATGATTGTTGATCTTACGTAATCAAGCTATGTGAAGTAAAGCTGAGAAAATGAAACCATGGATTCGTCATTGCGTTTCATCCCCCTTGACATGAAACAGAGTGAGTTCGAACGATGGGTCTGTATCTGCATCATTTATACAGTCGGCAAAGCATCCCGGGGGAATCATCACACCAAGTTAGAGAGAAGACAATCAGAAGAAATTACAGTTTTAGAGGTGGGGACAGGCCCAGAAGAATATTCTGGAGAAAACCCACGGAATCAGGTAGCGACTGAAAACCCAATCCACATGACTCACCACTGTGACGACCTGGTTGTTTTAATCGGATCAATTTTCGCGGTTGCGATCTCATATCAGGAGCGAAAGATCTGATCAGGCTTCTTACGGAATAACGCTAGGATCATCCTAGCTACTTTACGGAATAACATTCGACGTTGTGGATACATAATGTGATATTAGCCAGTCTATCAGCAGAAACGGCACACAGCGATATGGAATCATACCGGAATCAGATGTGACGTTGGTATCACCAAAAAGGTAGGCCTATAATATCAGCTTCGTTTAACATCCAAATGATCTAATCCATTCTAATTTGACAATTTCTTTATAAACCAAACCCGTGACGTACAGTTACAATCCCCTCGGTTATTACAAAATTAAAGTTATCTCAAATACACGGAAAAGGGTATATTCTTTTCGGTGTTCCCCTAATGTTCCTTATCTGAAACGTTCCACGTGCTTTTTCCGAGTTCTCCTTGAAAATGTTTTTTTTTCGGGGGGGGGGGGATTTGCTTAGTTTCCTAGAAATATACACGTTCTTCAAGTTTGAATGAGACACCGAACGAAAACAAAATACCCGACGTTTAGTTATTGAATTTCTTCTGGACAAAATCGACAGGCCTTTGTGTGCAAAATGAAATGCCTTGCTATAAAAATGCCTTGCTATTAAATCATTTATCAGAGCAGACTGGTATTAATTTGTAATGAACTTTTATTTGCTCGCAAGTTCCAAAAATGAACCGTTTACCTTGCTTTCAATTTAATATGGCCGACTCATGAATAAATACAGTATACTGCAAAGGCTTCCATTGCCAATACGTGGAGATTAGTGATAGGACCAAAAAATGTTGGGCCCCCCAAAAAAAATTTGTTCTGGATCCGCCCTTGATAGCATTTATAGAATTATTAGAGCCCGGTCACAGGCTCAGCTTCTCATACAGGATCGATTTATGTAAGCCTTACAAGTTACCCTTCATCAAGGCCAGGACGGCAGAGGGCGCTATTAACAGTTTGAATCAAATCCAGTCTTTGAACCTAACTTTGAAGCTCAGGCCAATTTTTTTTTCTTTAGCATAATAATCAACATCTCACGCGTGCTGTATTCATGAATAATTAATTTGAATGCTAGTTTGGGCAGCAGATTTTAGATGGCGCTCTTTCAAAGCAAAAGGAGCTGAAAAGTGGTGTCGACTGTGAAGGCTGATCCATTTCTTGGGGTGGGGGTGGGGGTGGGGGGTTAGTTGAGAATTGTCCAAGGCACTTGCGCGTGCCAAAGATACAGGCATTGATGCCTTTCTCCTATATTTGGGGGGAACTTTTAGAAACTATATGGATTGTGGGTGGATTGGACTCATATTTTGGAAATATTTCAGGTAGTCGATTTTTAGGAAAATCATTGGACCACTCAAATTTTGATTTGCTTTTTTTGAACACCAAGGAGTTTGATTCCCCCTCACTGGGTATTGTAAAAACGATGTTTGATGTTTTCTCTCCCACCATGACAGACAACTTAAAGGAAGACACAACAAACATGAAGACTACTTAATATTAAGAATCATCAACTGTTTAATGACCTAAAAAATCAGGGTGGAAGTAAAAATGGAGATGATGAAAACCTAAAATTTCAAATTGACAGTTGTGCCTGATCTTTTCTTTTATGTTCAGTTCATGAGAATTGTTACTATACATCAGTTTATTACTGAAGTGCACCATCATTTGCAAGCAAGAAGACTTTCTTTATATTGCATGTGCTTGACCCATTTCGCTGCTTTAGAACCTATCCTTCAGTCTTTGTTGATATGATCCACTCAAGAATATTAACTACCCTCCAAATCTGCTGGCTGAATAGCGGAAAATCCTCAGAAATGTGCAGCAAGCAACTGTCCAGTCCCTCACCCACTTCCATTAATGCCCTCTTCATGTGATCACCCCTGTTGTGCACCGATGGTGCAGTCCTGGATAAAAGCAGGATATCTTCCATCATAGACAGCAGGAAGAAGCTATTCTCGTACAGGGTAGGATCAAAGCTGGTGGTATTGATGGAGCAACGAAGCATAGCAGCTGCAGCTTGGATGTGAGGGAGAATTCTTTGGAGGATAAGAGGGGCAAGGATCGTTGAAGTTGCCAAGGAGACGACCAGGCAGCAGAGCTGACGCTGGGTCAAATGCTGATGGAGAAATCAGACGAGAAAATCAGGAATGAAAATGTCTTTAAATATGAATTGATATAATGAAACATTTATAAAGTGCACATAAACGCAATCCTTATATAAAAACTTCATCATTTCAAGTTGAATAAAACTGTTGTGAAGATTTTTTGCATCTTGATGAGAAATAACAAAAATCTGGAATATGCATGTACTATGCAGAAGTATCATCTAGCAAGCACTCGTTGCATGCGAAAAGCTTTCAGACTTTGTCAATAGAGGGCGCTGTTTCTTATATTTTTTTTTCACGCAGATTTTTTTGCATTTTTATCCCACATTTTCTCATTCCCACAAGAAACTGTGGATAGGCGAACACATTTTTTTTTGGATAGGCTACATCATAATCTACATGTCCTAGTGGAAGTTGGAAATTTACATAAAATTTGGCTAACCAGATCACCTACATTATCTTGAAAACTAAAGCGTTGTTGGCCTCTCGTCCCACGAACTTTACATTAAGTTAAACATGACTTATTATCCTGATTAAAGCAATCCAGATAAATGAAGAATATTTACAAATGAGCCCATTACTAACATCATTGAGGCGCTTGTTATGCAACATCAACTCTAGTAGTTTCTCCACAAGTTCCAAGGCTCCTTGGACAATCTCCCGACGAATCTCCTCCTCAGTACAATGCTCAAGGGTCTTGACGACCCCTCTCACAGCATCATTCATCAGTTTCCATGGCAACCCATCATCGTGCAAATGGCTGGATGCGTAACTCCCAAGGTACTCCAAGGCACGGAGAGCAGAATCCTTCACCGTACGCAATGCATCCACGGGTAGGGAATCATACTCCGTTGATTCAGGGAGCGATTTCAGTCTGATCATGCTGTGTAGGAATTGAGTGCTTGACCGGAGATGATTTTCAAGATTGTTCTGAGATGGTTGCTCATTCGGTATGGAGGATGGGGGCGTTGGGAAAGCAAAGTCAGGACAAGCTGCTGAAGATTGCAACGCCACGTTCCCTTGGTTAGATTCTTTCTCATCCATGTCCCATTCCATATCATCTTGCTCTTGATCTTGTCTCGCCTCTCTCAGCCGAGCTGTAGCCAACTCCTGTCTCGTCCTCAGTAACTCCGCCTCAAGCTTGCGAGCTTGGTCCTTCCAGTCCGACTCGTTTTTCCTTTATGAATTAAAATACGATTGAAAATCACAAGATATGCTTTCACAGGACATAATTGTTGACTTAACAGATTAAACACTATTTAATTATTTCTCATCTAAGGTAACTGCATTAGAAAATGTGTGAGGGCGCTGTTCATTTGTTGACCCTTTTTCTGAATAGGAAATTGTGATTGACCTTTTCATTTTTTTTTGCATATTTATACTGTTCTATTTAACTTCAAATATCAGAATTTTTGAAATCATGATTGCCGTCTACCATAAATTTATTGAAATTTAAGCATGAATAAAAGATTTGGAGAAAATGTAGTTTTTTAGCACTTTCTACCATATTTTTGCAGTCTATTTTGTATGCAAAATTATGATTACACCTAGTCCGAAAATTTGGGACTCTCAATACTGTGTATGAGAGTCCCAAAACTTAAGGTATCCATATCATGCAAAAGTTTGTGCTGCATAATAAAACCAGTGTGAATCAAATTTGCAAGCTTCTTACTCACTACAGTTTCCTCAATAATCCCCGAAACTTCTGCCTCGCAAAGTTGCTGTTGTGAGCATTGCATCACCAAAAATTCAGCTTTTAAATCTAATTTTGCAGAGAGTTATCGAAATCCAAACGTGAGACATCACGTTGATGTGTACTGCAATGCATTGTGCAAAAAAACTCCCTAGCTAGAACATTTTCATCTTGTAGATAAAGCAGCGCCCTCTTGTTGATCTGAGTGAATGTAGAATATTTCATTTTTTAACAGAGGGCGCTGTGTTCATTTGGCTATCAATTAAAAAACAAGTAAGCTGCAGGGCACTTCCTACACCTACCCAGAATACATTGGGAATCACACACCCATTTCCAGAGCATGGAGATTGACATGGATGGTTTTTGAACTGCCAAAAACTTGCCTTAAAATTGGATTTAAGGTCTCAAATTTCGCAGATGACATGCTTGCAACTTTATCATTTTGATGTATGTGTTGTGTGGGCATTAATTAGCCTAATGGTGAGTAAAAAAACGTCAGTAGTAATTTTGCACGTTTTTATGCACTCACGGTCCCAGTCTGGATTACACCTTACTCTGCATTTAATGTACACATTTCAGTGTCTCAACAAATCTCTGCTTTAAATCCATTTTTCTTTGGTAGTGCAGATTCCGACGAAATCCACACTCGTAATAAAACGTTTCCTTAATTTTGTTTTTACAAAACTACATGTACATCAAAAACAAATGTAAAAAATATATTCAAAAAACCTTAATTAGCCTGCCTACCTTAGGCTCTGCCCAAGGCTCTGTGCATATTCCTTTGCTGTCACATGACTTGCTTTACAGCGGATGACAGCAGTGGCTACTGCTAACTTGAGCCTGTTGATGGAGGCTACATGTACATCAGACGGCGGTTGGTCAGACATTTTGGTCAAGTGTTGATCACTACATGTTGAAATGTGTTCGAAATGCTGTACAACAAAATGAATACATGCCAGGTTCAACTTTTGTCTGTAAGTTTTTAGGTCATTTTTAAATTTTACTTTGGCCAATGCATTAGTTCGTAAGTACCTACCCCTAGAGAAGACAAATGTTGTTTTATCCTTAGTGTGGACTGGATACTTACTGAACTGGAAAGCGCAAAAAAGGATCAAATATTGGCCTTACAGTTACATCACTACATTATCACACTGATCACAACGTCACGAGTTACAGAAATGTTTACAAAATTTGCCGGGCAAATGAACGAGCGCCCTCTTTTGACCGAAAACCAAAGTGCGTGTTGGGCGTTCGCATTTTCAAACTAGTCATATTGAAGTAAACATTGGTCTTCGAAACGCAAGTTTAAAAAACAAAAATGTGTTATTTTGTTTACAGATTTCATTTCATTAAATAGTTACAAATGTTTCTAGCCTTATTTCTGGAGTCATTTTGTGAAACGTAATGTTTTCATTTAGTGATTCATAATTGAACACCCCTTCAAACAAGTGTTGTGATCTTGTGACCTAGTTTCTCATATTGACAGAATTTTCTCCGTCTGGGGCGTGCATGAGATTTTTTGACAGCTCATATTTGCTTATTTCGTCCCGGCATATGTCTCAGCTTTTGCCCAGAAATGTAAGTAAATTATGTAAAATTTTCGTCAGATATTGCATATTAGAAGTTGTTGTCTTCTGGAGCTGCTTTTCAGGTTTTTCGAGACGGAAACCCTTCCTGTTCTTACGGCCTTTCGCCGTTTATGTACATAATGTACGTAGGCTAGGCCGGATGGCAACAGCATCAGCAAGGGCGGATCCAGAACAACATTTTTTTTGGGGGGGGGGGGGGTGAGGGTGGGGCAAGAGTACCGATACTTCAGGCACCCTTGTCCCTTTTTAGCACTATAATTTTGGCGATCGTGAAGTGTAGGGCCCCTGTTTTGTTTTGATCAAATTAGAATTTTTTTTTTTAGAGTCGCATAACAAATGTTTTTAAATTTTATTTACCGCCTTCCGTGCGACTTCCACCCTCATAGTCATACGCATGTGCACTAACTTGTAGGCGCAGTCGCCTATCCAATGACCGAGCGTGTTTTCGCGACAGTTACCAGAAACATGTTTTCGGCTTTTGCCATTGGTTAAGCGTTTTCGCGACTTCGGTCGGCTGGAGTGACTGTTCCAACCAAAACTAAACAAATGAGGGCGCTAGCGATTCGGTGAGAAACTGATGAAAAGAGACTACAAAAAGTACAAGGCTAACGTTGCTTTAAAGTTTATTTTCCTGATTACATCGGTCAGCATCACATATGGAATTCCTGAACCCCCCGGATCAATAGATAAGGATTCATAGAGTACATGTATGTAGGCGTGAAACAAGCTTCTATAACGAGGTAAAACGTAACAAAAAGTAGGTCAAAATTTTGGATGGTATTATGTAGAGATTTCTCATCCTGGACGTCAGTCGTAATGCAATGGAGACTTCGTCCAACCTGGGCTATGGCCTGGCCCTGCATTCTATAGTTACTCCGCTATGGGATTGGAAATCCAGTGTTGATAGGCGAATTGTTTGCACTCAGAAATTCACTGCTAAAAAATGTCAAACATTTACGTTTAATGTGTCTGCGTACACATTGTCTGCAAACACACAGACACACAGCTTCAGCGTGTTAGTGCCAGTGGTGTCGAAATATATGCACTCGCAATTTGTGCAAAGTGAATCCAGTGTCTGTGGCTGGTTTACTCTCAGCAACATGTGTTCCGAACCATTTTATGTTCCCAGATGGAGAACTGATCTGAACTCCCTAAAAACGACAAAAAAATGACCAAACAAAAATTAAGGAAAACCGACCCGAAACTGAACCATAATACATGTATTGCAAACCGAAATTTATATTATAACAGGATACATGAAATGTCTTCATGAAACGATGACAAAGACTAAAGTAGAAATTTCAAGGATTTGTGAAATGATCCCAAGCAAAAACAACAAGATCCCCCTACACAGTCTAAACAAAGTACGGTTTGCAAGACCCAACATTTATTGAATTGCTTTACGTTCATGAGCTTGGGATCGTCTGTGAATTACATTTGTTCATTGAAGCGTTAAGGACCTGCCTACAGATGTGTCTGCCTGACAAGGCTGGAACTCTCAGGATTTGTGCACGGGCCATTTCATTAAAGAGGTGCTGACATATCCAATTGAAGAAAGAAAATTGTGTTACTGGCAAAATAAAAATAGTACAATTTACTGGCACATCTTTATGATTTGGTGTTTATATTAAATTACTTTTAATGTGTGTTAACAATACCAAACATACTTGTTCATTTATGCTTTGGAAAATCTTGTTGAAATGATGTACATGTACATATTGATGTGGTGTGGTCATGAATACACATGTACATGTACAATGTATGTTTTATTAAAAAACCCTACATTGTAACTCCCCAGGCATTTAGGATGCAACCTCAATCCTGCAAAATCCTCAAACTGTACCATTTAAAAATAAATTACATGTGTACATACAGTCTCAGTCCTGCAAAATCCTCCGTTATTTCTTGAATGTGGTCCTTGGAGGGGTGACCACTGCCTCAATTCTGCAAAATCCTCCAGCAATCACTGTCAATATGTTGAGGCAATGCCAGTGACATCCTGGAGCAGTGTGGAGGATTTCAAGTATAATCTAGGCCTAAATTTATGCATGGCTGAGCATAAACAACACAAGGTCCGGCCTAAGATATGTAAGACCTACATGTACCATATAATTAGACACAGAACATCCTCCAAAATCAACCAATTTTTGCCATTATACACAGTGCATCCTCCAAAATCAACCACAGAATTTTTGCCACACAGCCTCACAGCAAAATCCTCCAAATCCTCCATTTAGCACCTTAGAGGATTTTTGGAGGATTTGGGAAGGTTACGGTTTTAATTGTCAAATGTATGGTAGTTTTTTTTCTAAAAATAAAATAAAGTAAATAAATTGATTTACTTTTATGTTTGTGTAGTTTTGCAGCTTTATTTCCTTGATAAAAAAATTCTACATTGCAGTTTCAGAAACAATTTTTATTTTTTGCAATCTAAAGATGACTCTGCCTGCAGTACTTCTGTCCAGTTCAACTTATTTTTATTAGCATGCCATATCTCCTGAGGACATTGCACCATTTTACAGATTACGTTTACACCTTCATTGTACACTAACTGTAAATGACTCATCTGGGATCGGGATTCACCTTTGACCTTTAAAATTAAGTGCATACAGTACCCAGCGCTATGATATGTCATACATTGGACATCCACAAATTCAACATTTAATTTAAAAACATATTTTGCATTCTGTAAGTGTTAAGTCAGCTAAAACTGTCCCACTACAGTTAAATTTATATCAGCAGTTCTGTACACAAAAAAATTCTTATTAATTTAAAAGCCACTTTGAAAAGGAAAAATGTCCATTAATATTGATTGGTGTGAAAATTCTAACTGTGTCATTCATTCCCTTTGGGCATATTCCACTTGAGGAATCACTCAAATTGAATTGTAGGCCTACCGGTAAAAATGTACAGGCTGATAATATTTCAGCCACGTTTCTGAGTCTTGCAGTGTGGTATTACTTACACATGTACATTACATTTCAACTTTCTTCAAAAATGATTTCCTCTACGTAACACAAAATGTCTTTATTTTACTGGACATGCTGGAAGGGAAAAGAGCTTGTTGGCACAGCAGGGGCTGCAGGAACTGCTGTATATTAATATGCAAAGCATCCTGGAGGGACGGTGTACGTACTCGTATGAGTAATGAGTGAATTCGTCCCCGTCACATCGGATAAATCATATTTTGCAGCGAGGTTTGGCTGTGCACACAGCCTGTGGTGAAAACGGGGCTCTTTCCCCAGATTTCAGGGAACTGTCTGCAGAGCACAGAATCTGGCTCCTTCCCTCCCCCTTTAAAAAAAACAAACAAACAAATTTACAAACAGCTAGCCAAAGTGTCATTTTGTCATGCAAGCGGTCTCCCACCGACTTCTAAAATTATTATTATGCAGCACTAGCTAGGGCTGTCCAGTTTCGAATAATTTAGTATTCGATTACTCAAAACTGCGTTTGATCGAATATTCGGATATTCAAAACTGCCAGCTGCAGTTCTGTGTGCTGCGTCGGTAAAAAGCTGCACGAAGAGCATGCTAGTAAAAATTGGCGTGTGGGGACAATATGGGCTGCTGGAGTGTTTTACAGCAAGTATTTTATAATTGTAAAAGGGCTTTAACCTGCTAAAAGGATGTAAACAATGAACCGTCCTCGACAAAAACATTACCGTCGACAAAGAGTGACACCTGACAAAGTGCCATGCTTTTGCAATAAAATAACATCACAGTCGTGTGTATATTTGCGCATAGTTTTATGTTTGTTTTCGAATATTCAAACCAGCAGAAAGCTATTTGGATATTCGGGTGATGATCAAGTATTCAAGTATTCGATATAGTATTCAAGTATTCGATATTGGACAGCACTATAGTGCACAGATTTGTCCGGCAAGTGTTCTCTCTTGGAAGATCCTTGAAATTTAGGCCAGGGCCTTGTATGTATTCCTAGTAATGAGTTTAAGATGGATTTCTCATGTCTTCTAATCTCCAGATGCTGTGAGGTACAGTTCACTTCATGGGCGGCTGATGGGTGTCGCATCAGAGTAAGAACAGTTGAAGTACCGTCGTATGTTTCCCGCTTTGTCAGACTAAGTGATCATCATGGTGCTAGAGTCCATCATTGCCAGTCTGCTGAACAAGTATCTCGGCAAATATGTGCAGAACTTGGACAGCGAAAACCTCAACCTGGGCATCTTCAGTGGTAATGTATCCAGTACTTGGCTTGTTTTCTTCTGTTCTTCCAAACTGTATTTCGTCGGTTTACAGAACATGTAAATTTACTTTAGGCGACACACAGGCATGCAACTTTTCCTCGGATCTGCTGATATACTCGTTTTTTTCTTCTCATGAATGCCATTTCCAATTGAAAAAATATTGTACAAAGTCTTGTGTAGTTCGGAGTTTCCTCGTTTTTTCTAAATTCCCAGTTGCATGCCTGACAGAGACAGTGAATGAAGATTTGAGTCTCAAAATTGTAGGAACATTTGTATTTTTGTCGATTCAGGGAACAACAATACTACAGATCTGGAGCAGATTATTAACCTAACCACCCTGAATCCATCAAAATCCACACCCCTGTTTTGGCGGATTCAGGATACATCCATATTAAAAACGGGGATTTTGATGGATTCAGGATTGTAAGCCTAGTGGTACTGTAGGATTTTGATGGATTTAGGATACCTCCATAATGAGCAGTCACCAAAACCAATTTTTTTGTGCATGACACAATACCTGGTAGATGGATTTTGGCGGATTCAGGATACTTTCTAGTAAAAGTGCTCAAGGGGCTAGGGTTAAAAAAAACTAACTAGTCAAAATCTAGCTCCGATGCTTTGCTCACTAAACTACATACATGTTCATCAGTCTATTAGGAACAGAATTTGGAGAAGAGCCTAGTTGTTAGTACAAGAACCATTTCCAGTACAGTTTAAAGTTTGAATTTTACCATGGAGGTATCAAGTATCACACAGAAATATGCTTTCACAAAATATTGTCTCTGCATTTTACAATCTGGCCATTCTTTTATTTAAAATGCAGTGTGGTGTCATAGGAATATTAAATTAAAAATAAATTTAAGGGACAAGTGAAACATACATAATACAACAATGTATGATACATTATTTAGTACAGCTGTGCATAAAATATAGGGTCATTATTCCACTGAAACCCACAGAGTGGTTCCATTGGCAGTAATCATGTTAATGAGCAGCAGACCTGGATGCCTTGAAGGTCAGCCATTGTTCAGGCCACGTACATACCGTAGGATCACGGTCTGTAAGTCACTCAGTCAGTGAAGTAATCCCGTAAGCTTTCAAATGAAAAGAAGATGTAAGGAGATTTCTGCATGCATAATTTATACCGGCTTCAACTACATGCATGTAAGTCTTTAAGTGCATAATAATTCTTGTGCTTAAAAAAATCATAATTCCTTTCTTTTTAGGCATTGGAATGGGGTAACCAGTAAGTGTATTTTAATACTGATATATAATTAAATTGTAGTCCTAGTGTGTCAAATGAGGGGTAAGATTTTTTACAGAAGATGTAACGTCTGAAACACCATTTTCAATTGCACCATTCCATGAAATAGTCAAGACAGTTCGGATTATATAACCGACATACAGATCCTTGTCATTTGATTGGTGGAACTATCACATCACGTGACATTCATTATTGCTCCCGTTCACGCCGTGGCTAAAAAAAATCTGCCCATGGGGAATGGGAAATACTATTCAACAGTTAGAACAGTTTGGTTGACAAAATTCCGTTAACATTTGGCTGTTCAGCAAGACGTCACTCACATAAACGAAAGTTGTAGGATTTTCATTAAGCTAGTTTATGGAAGATCAATCTCTAGAGGTCCATGCTACAAAAAAATATGAAAACTGTTTTCCAGTTCTGTATCTTTACAAAATTTGAGGCTGTCAAAGTGCCATTAAGCTTTATGGATGTTAAAAAAAAACCAGGGCCATAATACCCCGATCAATCAGCATAAAAAAAATTACCCCCCCCAAAAAAAGTTCCGACCTACACATGTACCGACCCTATTTTTGAAAGGCATGTAATCGGAAGCAGAACTACTTGGTACATGTATTTTCTTTTCTTTTTTGCAGTAATATACATGTAGAATAATTTGAATGATGTTTATTCTTGGGCTTAGCTCGCTAGCAGACAGTTTTTTGGCCTACCGTATTCACTGGGTGACACCCATACATACATATGTATGATATGTATACATGTATACATGTACATACTTCTGACCTGTTTCCACTTATGACAATTCCTCCATTGCTGTGTTACATTGCATCCATCCAATACACACATTCATACTGCTCCTGGATCTACACTGCATGCAAATCAATACAGCCGGTGGATTCGCTGGCTATCTTGCTAATCAAGTGGACAACTCAAGCTGCTGCAGACCCACAATATTGACTTGTGTGCATTCAGTCTTATTAGAATACTCTGTGTAAATGATATACTACACTGTACTGCAATGCAAATGATGACAAATCATCAGCTTATGTACGTACAGTACCGGTACATGTTTGTAATTTATAAAACAATGTACCCCTGATAATTGTTGCAGAAAATTCAAGTTGGTCACAGGAAATATTTTTCATGTCCTAAGGTCATTAGGCCTATTGAATCATAAATCAAATGTTAATGTTGTTTAAATAGATCTGTCTAAATGTTATATTGTATGGTATCATATTCTCAAATTTACTAAAGTAGATACATTTGTAGACATTTCTTGATGGCAGGGAATACAAGGTACATGTACCTCATTTCTATACAAATTCATGGAAAATTGGAATATTTGTTGATGTAACAAATTCTTGGGCTCAGTACAAATGTTCATTTTTTTTACCATTTTGTTGTGTGTGGATTGATTTGATGCAGCACTACTGTACCTGCTGCAACATAATCTATAGATTTTTAATCCCACCAGCTGATACTTAATATATTAACCCTAACCCCTTGGGCACCGTATCTTTACTAGAAAATATCCTAAATCTGCCAAAATCCACCATTTACGTCACACCAAAAATGTTGGTGTTGGTTACTGCTCATTAATGGAGGTATTCTGAATCCATCAAAATCCTAGGCTTACAATCCTGAGTCCATCCAAATGACCCAGTTTTCAATATAGAGGGATCCTCAATCCGCCCAAATTCTCCAAAACAGGGGTGTGGATTTTGATGGGTTCAGGGAGGTTAAAGGGTTAAATTTATGCAGTGTTACGCTAATCGGCTGGTGTACGGTATTTGCCAAAGTACATTGTACACTGAAATAAAATATTCATGAGCGGATAAGCGTTCACGCACATATGCCCACAGTGCAGCTCATCTTGATTGCTTGCGGACACCTTTGAAATTAAAAGCACTCTGCACTGGACTCAAGTCTCATTTGACTACATGTGTACAGTTGTAGACTGTGCGTTTTTTTTATGTCCATGAATAAACAAAAATGCAGGGATAAAAAAATGATGCAGGCCACCTGTGTCACACAGTGTACAATAACACTTACATGAACATGACTGTCTTGCTGTTGTTTAAACTCATCCGTATTATTTTTATTTGAACCAGCTCTTACAACCAGTGACGCACCCAGGATTTGGCTGGGGGGGCTCACAATTTTTTTTTTTCCAAAATTTGTTAGAAGTTAAAAAAAAAAATTGAACAAATTTGCCAAAACTGTTTGGCCGCAGAAAGGTTTTTTTTTTTTTTTTTGGGGGGGGGGGACTATTTTGATGTTGATGGCGTCACTTACACCCCTATTATACTGCTCGAAAATAGGCCACTTACATCACCAAGGTCAAATCGTTGGACTAAAAAAAAAAATTACAAAAAACCTAAACGGTGACGCCGACTGGCTATTTTTCAGAGCGTACTGCGCGTGTATTTCGAAGTCTGCGCACTCCATTTCCTATAACGTCAAGTATCTCCTATAATCTCAAGTAACGTTAAAAAAATGTTTTAAGACGGCGCGATGCCTTTTCGATTTGGATTCCGGAAGTCCAGGTTTACGCCCCCTAAAACATGTATTCTGGGTAAAGAATTGAAAGAAAAATACATTTGTAGTGTGTCACTTACCGGTATTTACTTGAAAGCGAATGACTTGTGATTTATTTGTGTTGTAAAGGGACGACGGATGTACGTACATGTACATTTAATATAAATCCTTAAATAAATAACATCACGTCGAAATCTCATGATGCTCATGTTTGAAATGATCAAAAAAACTTAAAACGCAGTGTATCGCTTTAACTAATGACTTAAATATTATTCATGCTGCCTTCCTATTTTTGACCAAAAATACAGATGAAGGCAAAATAATGAGAAAAAAAATGCCGTATATAACGTTAATGTGCAATTTGGGCCAATGTAAACAGCCAGATTCAGATTCAGCACTATCGAATTAGTAAAGTTGACCTGATTGCAAGCTGACACCAAAAAGTTAAGATGAACCTCAACTTCTAGACCTGAAATACAGATTTTGGCCCATGGCCTTAAATCCATTCATTTCAGAAAATTACAGCAATTTTAGCAAATGTTGCATGCGATGTACCGGTACATGTACATTTGTACAGTATATACTAAAACTCACGTAGCATGTATACATGTACATGTGAGAAATTGACTCTGATGAAAAATATAAATACAGAGGTAGTGATGTGTGATGAAGGACCATTATTTTCCTATTTGCCGTTTTTCAAATATTGCGTGTAATATTTTTTTCATGTCTGGTATAAATTACCATAATTTGGACTTTGCAATTGTCTAAATTTGCTGACAGATGGTAGCATACAGAATGCAGGTGTACTGTACAGTACCTGTGTACATGTACATGTATGCATGTCATGCGTGCAGTCACCGCGTGCCTGGCCAAATCGTTGTAAATGTCAAACATCGCGTACAAGCGCAGGCAATTTGCATGAAGTGATTGTTCATTTGAAACAGGTTTCCATATGGATCCAATCCAGGGTCCGTTGAGTGAAAGCAATCCGGGAATGGAAGGGGTAATATTACCTACACTACTGCCTTGATCCTGATTATGAGTATCAATCATGAGGTGTTGGAAAAACTATCAATGGAGTTTGAATTGTGAAATGATGGGATTGGAGCCATTGACTGCAGGGCATATCCACACTAACGGGGTACAATTGACTGCAAATTTGGGATCTGACATGTTTGAGAGGGGGACACTCAAGCATATTCTACAATGTATATACTGGCATGACTTAACATGCACGTGTAATAAAATCCAGTAAAATTAAGACACAATCCAGATATAAAATCCAGTTCCATAATGTACATGTATGTACATATACTTTGCAATTCTTTTAGCGTGTAACACACACAACTGTGTGGTCCAGCGTAATAACTTGTTCAAGTAAATTGCAGAGTGCTGCATGTCATTAGCACGGATGATTACTTCACATACGACTTGACATTAAACTTTGAAGAAGATGGAGGATGATGGTCATCCATGCAAGAGATGATAGATTCAACTCCTGATGTGCAATCGGCAATAAGCAGTTTCACGTTAATATATGCCATCTTTTTTATCTTTTAAAAAAAAAGAAAAAAAAAAAGCCCAAAATAATAAATTTTATTTGGCATCTTTGTCTGTTACATCTAGCCCATATGAAATCGGTATGTCATTTCCTGAGTCCAAGTGGCGGCCATTTTAAGAAAAAGCTGGCATGCAGCCATCTTGAAAAAAAGCCCGGCCGATCGTTTTGGAAAATGGGTCAGACAGCCGTTTTGGGGAAAAAAGGTCCGCCTTCTTTTTTTTCTTTCAAAAAGGCAGGACGCTATTTAAATACTTTTTTTTTTAAAATTTATTTGGCCTTACCCTTCTCGGCTTGATGCAGTTCAATCTGTGATTGCCACATTTTGTCTTAAAAAACAAATAATAAAAAACTGTTTATCGATAACAAGGCTGGCATATATGTTTATAAAGGGAACCCCCCCCCCCCCAAAAAAAATTCAATCATAAATCTCCCTGATATTTAACGGTACACTTGTTTTGGACTCCTGAGCTGTCATTAATATTGAAGGCTTACATTTGCCTGGTAGCTTTCATGCTCATTATGTGCACCTTAAAATGAGCAAAACAATCTCTTTTTTAGTGGGCCCGTATGTAACCTACGGTACACATACGTACAAAATTGCACATTATTCCAAGATTTCAAGTGAAGTTTGGAAAGGTACTGGTACATATACAATGTAGTCTGTGGACATTATGTTTTGAAATCGTATCCAAAAACACAAATATGTTATTTTTGTGTTTTATTATTTGGTACTATAAACATTACCCCTGGAATCTTTTAATGGTTAATTCTTTTAATATAAGACACGTACATGTAGCCTTTCCCGTACATGTAAGACAACATCTTTTTGATTAAAATGATTTCCCTTAAACCAAGAAAGCAACATGCGATGTGCAATTGCACTATAATTTATAAATTCATTTTGTGTGTGTCCAGTATACTTTGTGGCATCACATATTAATTAAGGAGTGTTTAATGTAAACTGATTCTTTACATGGGGTTAGGCATACCACCATAATCAGAGTCCAACAGTTTCGGTGTTGAGTTTACCATATGGTGTTGGATTTTGCAAGAGTGAGGAAGGCTCCTGGTAAATCACTCAAGGAGGTTAGGGTAAAAGATGATACATGTATAATAATTATAACAATAATAACTAAACATGTGTTAAAAAAATCACTTGGCTTTTAATCATTTGCATATTTCCCGAATTTTTAATCAACAGGCAGCTTGGAGCTGACCGATCTGGAGCTCAAGCCAGAGGCTCTGGTAAGTTCTACGTCTGTCAAGTGTTTGTGGCCCAGTATTTGTGTGTTCAGACGTGACGTACATTTCGACAGCTCTGCACAACTGCCCTGTTTTTCCTCAAAATCAAAGCCTGTGAAATTCTCGGGTTGACATTGATATGTTATTGTAAGATTGCCAGCAATCCCAAGAGTTCTCTGCGTAAAGCAGCTAAGCTTTTTGAGAAAAACAATTGTATTGCAAAGAAATGCAACAATGTTATTTACATGTAAATGTCACACTGGTGAAGATGTACGCAGATGGGGATTATACGCATGAAAAAAAAAATGGCATTTAGAAATGTCATTTGGTAATTCTTCTGTGTACTGTATTAGCAGAAGGGAAACTTAGCACCACAAATGGAACAAATTGTAGATCACTTTGAAAATTGAATTTAGTTGTACATATTTGTTAGGGCACTTTAAGTGCTCTACAAAAGTGTACAATGATGAGATGTAGCAGAGTTTGATTCAAGTTGATTGATTCCTTTTTCTCTTCAGTATGAGCTTAACCTTCCTATCGAGGTCAAGGCAGGATACATAGGTGAGTACATGACATTGACGTCCGCTTGCATCAAATCTGCATCCTAAAAAAATGGAACTTGTACAGGATACAGTGAAACACCACACTTATAGGATGCTTCAAATTAAGCATATAAACGTGTGTGCATGCATCACACACATTACATGATTTATATGAAAGGTAACCTTTTTTGAAGGAACATCCCCACCAACCACCCCCATGCCCCCCTCCCATCCCTACCCCATGCCCCTCCCATCCCTACCCGCCACCCCAACAACAATATAACTACTTGTGTTTTTGAAGTGACTTGGCATTTGAAGTTAGAAACTGTAACAAACTGATAGGAGAATTTAGCAATGATTCTTCCCTTGCCTTCCACCTTCGACGCCTTTGGTTTGAGCACGTACATGTACATGTAGATTGAGTGTTTCCGCCTCAGTAGTCTCCAGGTTTGCTCATTAATTTATTTTGCTTCCTTTCCCATTGTCATTTTGCCCTGAAAAAAATGCCCGGCTACTTATTGTGGTTAAATTTACTTAAGCCCTTACTCGTTGATGTTGGCAATAATGCCAAAAAACTTCTAAAATCTACTCAAAAAATCAAACGCTGCATATTCTTTATACTGTTGTAAAGTATGATTCTTTAGCCGAGCATAAATTTCAATCAGGGCTCGCGAAATCGGCTGCCCGATTTGTCGAGCCCTGAGCCACTTCAGGTAAAGCAGCCATATACAGTGGGTACATTATTAAGATTTGGCCTTCAGTTTGGTGCAATATTAAAAGTTCTATATTGGGCAACTGAAAATGAAATTTGGGCAACCAGATTTCAAGCACACCTGCCCGAAGGGCAAAGTCCAACATTTAAAAAAAATTTGTGAGGCCTGTTTCACAGAAACAAGATCTTCATTTATATTGTCCTGTTTTGCTGCAGGGAGGATTATCGCTGACATCCAATGGACATCGTTATTCTCTCAACCTCTGGCCGTCAATATTGAAGACGTCTTGATCCTAGCTGGGCCCGTCTATGACAGACCCTACGATGAAGCCCGGGAGAGACAACTACAGAATGCCGTCAAGAGAAAGCTACTAGATGACTTGGATGCAGCCAACAAGAAACACAAAAACAAAAGTAGGTTCAGGATCAAAGTTCACAAATTTGTATCAATTTCACATATGGAAATAAAAAAATGTTGTGCATTTGTGTAGTATGGGAATTGGATACCCGATTGAAAAAAAAAACATCGGTACCCGGGAACCCGTTACAGAAACCCAACCCCAAAATTCCAATCTCGGAAGTTGCTGTTCAGATTGTCCATAAAGGTCTACACAATAATACTACCACATCGGTGCGTCATTGCAGCAAGATACAAGTGTGTACAGTGAGCTCTACAGCTTCACGGTGTCAATTGCATTTTCGCCAATGTTATAAAATTAATCTGTTTTGTCTTTCCTTGCAGTCTGGTTTAATTTAGAAAATTCTCAACCTAATGACATTCACAACCTAATGACATTCACAACCTTTCTTTTTCATTGTCTGAGAAATTACCAAGTAATTTGTAAATTTGGTCACGGCTACTCGATTCCATAATCTGAACTGGTTCCTGACATCAACGGCCAGGTGCTCAGGTACCGGTTGGGATGCACAGCCCTAGATAATTGTCTGTGGGAGTATATATAATGTGTACCCAGGTGCTTGGGACTGCAATATGACAAGGTGTCAAGCTGTCTGCTGAGGAAGTTGTCAGGTCCCACCGTCTATCTGGATCAAGTGTCCTTGTATACCTGCACTTTCACACATTCACATATTAATGTACGTGTATTGTGTCTTGAGTAGGTCAAAGTACAGATACTTACATTGTAAGTGTAATATTGAATACATGTACGATCACATGCATGTTCAATACAATACATGCAGGTACAGTGTATTACATTTTGCACATGTATATGTACATGTACATAACATTTTGCACATGTATATGTACATGTACATAACATTTTGCACATGTATATGTACATGTACATAACATTTTGCACATGTATATGTACATGTACATAACATTTTGCACATGTATATGTACATGTACATAACATTTTGCACATGTATATGTACATGTACATACAGTCAGAGTACACATCATTTAGTGCAATATTGAATGCAATCATGTGAGTGTTATACACCATCCACACCTGTGTCACATAATGAATGCTTTAATTAAATTAAGTACTGAAGATATTGTACTTCATGCATTTTCACAGCTGGAAATGCAGGCTTCATGGTGTATCAAGTGAAAAAAAAATCATATTGTGCATCTGAGGGAATAAATAAAAGACCGCGCTTAGTAAATCTTGTACATGAACTTTCAGTCTGTATCCCTCAGGGATCACTCTTGCAATGTGCTGTCTTAAATCCTTCATCTGCATGTTTGTTAGTAAGTTTTTGAAGGAATAGAAAGACAACTGATGCGAGAAATTCAAATCTGTGAACACACCATATGTGTGTACGTGAAGATACTTCATCAACATTTGAACTTGCAGCATTATGAATGTACAGGAATTGTATGAAACTCCTTAATATTCATCATTAATTCTTTGTAAATCATAAATTTCTTGCAAGAAGTATGTGTCCATTGTACACATACCGTTACTGATAGCTCTGTCAGTAATTTCTCTGTTTCTGTTAACTAGATTTTATCCGTGCACTTTTTTTTCTAAAGGCAAGGAAGAAGAAGCAGAAGATTTGACATTCACCGAGAAATTGACAGCGAACATCATTAACAACATCCAGGTAGATTTATATTTTTAAAGAAAGTCCAGATTTTTCTTGATTGGTCAGAATTTTGCTCTTATTCCTCAGGATGAAGCTGAATTCATAAATACTAAAAGAAAGTTTATTAATTGGGCTTGCATATTCCAGAGTTTGAAAGTGCTTACATGCAGAACTTTATTAAGAAAATTGTCCTGTCATTAGGATTTTCCTTTTTTTGACTCACCCTGTATATTCTTGTTTCAGTTCCATGTCAGGAATGTACATGTCCGATATGAGGACTCCACAACCAGACCTGATGAGCCGTTCGCCTTCGGCTTCACACTCCAACGCCTCTATGCAGAGGTAAGTCATATGAAAACCAAAAAACCTACTGACAATTTGGTCTAGTGGACAAAATCATTGAACTGCAGCACAGTTCTTTGCAAGGTTTGGTTTAGAATCTGACCTTAGTCTAGTTGGGTCATCAGAAAATAGAGTTGATTCTGACAATAAAGTTTTTTTTCACTAAAAAACAGTAACTTTCCTGATCTAAATTTGAGTTCATTCAATGTGCCTGTTTTGCTGTTTGTTTATCTCCAGACAGCAGACGAAACGTGGCATGCGGCTTCTGTGGATGCTGGTGCTACTTTTATGCGCAAGGTAAAGGATCATGGAGTTCTTTTACTGGGAGATTTTTGTGTATTTTAATCCTTGAAGCCAAAATCCATCAATTTTGTCATGCAAAAAATGTTGGTGTCCTGAGTCCATCAGAATCCACCAGTGAGTCCATCAGAATCCACCAGTGTAGTACATACATGTATAACTCGTACACACCAAACATATAGCCAAGGAGTTAAACTGTTGAGATCCTGAATCCATCAAAGTCCCCCAACTGCTCAATATGGAGGTATCATGAATCCATCAAAATCCTGCAGTACCGCTAGGCTTACTGTCCTGAATCCATCAAAATCCCCCAACTTTGATTGTGTGCACCCTTAGGTATACCACCATACTCGGAGTCCAACAGTTTAGGTGTAGAGTTTACCATATGGTGTTGGAATTCGCAAGAGTGAGGAAGGCTCCTTGTAAATCACTCAAGGTGGTTAGGGAACATTTACCTGCAATGATTGGATCAACCTGTGGTAATTCTGAATTGCTTGGCTCCTTAGCTTGCAGAGATGAATGAGTTAGCTGTATATTGGAACCCGGACTGCCAGCAGTTGATGGGCCAGCATCTGACCTCTAACGCATGGAGAGAAATGATGAGGAACTCAGTCACTAGCCACAAGATCAATGGAGAGAGTTTGCAGTTTGGTAAGCTGTCTTCATTACACTCGGTCTCTCTCAAGAGACTGATCCTCTAAGCCCTGGCCTCATGTATGTTCATGCCAATGCATTTGTGCACCACTTAGTTTTTTTTCCTGCATGCATACGGGACCAATAGATTCTGAAATCGTACAGACGACAGATGGCGCCATTCCGTACCTCTTGATCAGCTGAAAACAATGTCACATAATTGACACAAGTTACAGACGACCTAGACTCATGAGATATTTTGTCTATATTCCAGTGATTGATCCCGTAACCACCGCTGCCCGTCTTGCCCTCGACAAGGCCACGGCTCCCCAGTACCTGACCCCCATGCTCATGGTGGATATCTTGACGGAGACGGTTGCCATGACGATCTCTCGCCAGCAATACCTGAACATCTTAGATCTGATTGAAGGCATGAAGCTGATGGAGGTCAATCAGAGGTATCGCAAATACCGCCCCGCGGTCAGGTCGGCTGGACATGCTAAAGAATGGTAAGAAGGTGGTATTGAATTTTTGGAAAGTGTCTGAAAAATGTTTTGAGAATTCTAGTTTTGGAACATGTTGTGTACCTGGTTAGAATAAGCAGTGTTCAAGCTTCTATTAGAGCGTTGTGGTTCAGTGATTACCGTGTTCGACTCATGTGCCATGGTACGTGGGTTCGAACCCTGGTGGGGAATATTTACTTGTAATTGTAGTAAAGGACACTTTACTACAATTGCCTCTCTCCACCCAGGAGTAAAAATGGGTACCTGTGAAGGTAGAGACCAGAATGCCCTGATCTTGAGCTGCTGCAAAAACTGGTCACATGACCTGATGAACAGGGGTAATAATTGTTATTAATTTCTGGTAATGAAACTAAGGATTCCTCAAAAGCGCCCCAGACACTGTAGCTCACAAGCCTGAAGAAACCTGCGGAGAGAAGACAATGAGAAGCAATTACAGTTTTAGAGGTGGGAGGAAAACCCCAGAGGAATATTCTGAGGAAAACCCACGGAATCAGGTAGGGACTGAAAACCCAATCCACATATTGGCACCTTAGCATATGTACTTTTTCTTTTATTCAAAGCCATTTCTTCATGAAAGGACGTATGCATTTGTATTTTATTATTTCCCAGGGTAGCCTTATCAATTAACAATCTATGCATTATCCCTGGGGCATTGCAGATCATGAATTTATAAATTACATATGCAGTATAAAAATGGGGATTATTTTTAATGCCATTGAAACCTCAGTTGATACCTTTGTACATGTCTAGGTTAAATTCAACCAGGCATGCAACATTACTTCGGATCCGCTGTTTTTCTTGTTTTTGACTTTTCATGAATGCAATTACAAATTGAAAAACACTGTACAAAGTCTTGTGTGGTTTGAAATTTCCACTTTTTTTCTAACTTCCCAGTTGTTTGCCTGCTCAACATCATTAAAACCTTTTTTCTGAGCTATAGGGTTTCAGAAATAAGGGAAAACAAATTATTCATAATGTCTTGCTTATAGTTTCTTAAAGTCGTTCAATGGGCCATTCGTCATTAAATTTTCCCAAAGACATAGTGTTTCCTGATCTACTAGGACTCTGAGAAGACGGAAGAAAAACCTAAGGATTTTAGAGAAATTTGAGCATTGATCTCTTATTTTATTCATAAGATGAAGTTGCGTCGTGGCGATGTAAATCAATATTAGGTTTTTTGCCCTTCACTGATCAACACATTGACAGAATTGTTGGGGACTATTATCTTGACGTGATAGGTGGAAGTATGCCTACAACTGCATCGTTGAGGAACACATACGGCCGTGGTCTGCCAAACGACTGGACAAGCACACCCAGCTGTACAAGGAGTACATGGACAAATACCGAGAGAAACTCAGACTGCGCGAGAATAAAGAGGACTCCGTACAGGTGGACAAAGAGCTTGCCTCATTGGAAGACAACCTGGATGTAACAAGCATCGTGATTGGACGAGAGAAGGTCAAAGTTCAAGTAAGAAATTTCCAAATGTTGTTTTTTGAAAAGTAATGATGATGGTTTTTATTCGGATACTTCATATTAATTCACAAAACCGATCTTGGTAATAAATTCCAATAATGTGTTGTTGATAGTTTGCCAAAGGGGCTCCTGAACGGGAGAGGATACGCAGGGAGAAGAAAGAATCTGAGAAGAGTTGGATCTGGGGCTGGCTAGGATGGGATTCAGACTCCGAGGAGGACACCGAGGAGGACATGGATGAAGATGGTAAGAATTAACAGACAGGATGGAGTAGCACCTCTGACGAGTCTTGGCTCAGACTGAACTGTGGAGGAATTGGAGATGAGATGTGAAAAGGACGTGCAATGTCGCGCAAAATGCAGCTGTGCTGGTGTAGTGTGAATTTCGGACTATGAAAATACTGACTCACTGGTAGTTTCGCTCATGCCTACGTGAGGATTGTGAATGTTCAACTAATAAAACGGTAAAAGGTAAAATTTCATAGAGTCCAGATTTCATGTGACACTGGAAAAGGGTTTAGGACCAGCCAGCCATGTCTTTACCATCCGTTTAAGACCGTCCACGTGACGGGCTCTCGACCAATGGGAATGGGTTAAAATGTTGTTTTGAATCATGGATCTCAGCAAATTAGTATGTACATTGTATTAATAATCAATATGGGGTCTAACTTGGACTGGTATAGTGGTGTTTGTATAGCGACGTTACACTGTATTACCTTTAAGCCTCGTGTCTCATTTGTTTCTTTCATCAGGTATATGGTCTCAGCTGACTGAGGAGGAGCAAGAACGAGTCATTAAAGGTATCGGCTTAGACACGAAGGCTGTGGAGCATGCCAGCGATCTTCCCCCTGAGGTAAAGCAAGTCTGCTCATCTAAGACATGCCAAGATCATAGAAAGCCTTCTGTTGGAATAAGGAACACAAAGTATTCTTTGGGAACTGTATGGGAAATGTTCTGAGCATTTTGGATGCTATTGGGCTTAAAAGTGGCGCTATTTTGCCATGTTGTGGAGGGATCGTTTTTCAAGATGGCTACTTTTCCAACAAAGGAGTTTCCCACATGAATGGCAGAATTCTAAGTTCTGAATGAAGTTGCCCATAAGCACACATCCCTTTACCCTACCCCTGCCAGACGCAACACAGTGCATCAGGTGGAAAAGTGGGGGGGGGGGGGGGGGACACACTGAGTATACAGTGTTTATACGTCGGTGAAGGGCAAAAACCTAATATCAATTTACATAATCCCAACGCAAATTCCATCTTATGAAAAGATTATTTGATTTTTGATTTTTTGTTGTTCACAGTATATCCAAACCAAACTCAGCTTTGCGTTGAATACCTGCAATGTGGTCCTGAAGAACAGTGGGATAACAATCTTGCAGTCATCGCTTCATAACGTCCAGGCAGGGTTCATGCACAGACCTGGCTCCCAGGGATTCCAGTAAGTTTGATTTCCCACTGTGCATCAGGGTTTTCTTATTTTGTTTCTAGACACTTTGTAAAGACAATTTGTGAGTCGTTCTGGCAAAATGAGACAGAATTGGGCAGAGGCCGTACAGGAGAAAAATGCAAAAAATGAATGGGAGTATCGTTTCTGATTTTCCAATTTATTGATATTTGTTATCTTTGATATGTCTACTGCCCATATTTTTAAAAGAAACAGTATTAAAATCAGGGAATAAAATTGTTTTTAAGAAAAATCACTCAACATCTTTGATTTTCACGAGTGCAAAACTTGAAACTTTAAAGGCCTTTTTCTCAGTATTTTACTTTTTTGACGTGTAGATAAATGCGAACTTCAAACAGCCACAACTTGTCAACCGAACGTCCAATTGAAGTGCAACAAACACTATTATGAGAATTGTTTTTGTTATCTTTCCTAATACACACAAACCCTCATTTCCACCTCTGCCCAGTTTTGTCTCATTTTACCAGAACGCTTCACATTTGAGAAAACATTTAAGTTTCAATCTTGTTTGTTTTTATCTTCGAGGGTACTGATGAGCACTGATTCCGTCCTTGTGGAGGGTTGCTCTCCCCAACATGACCAACTCGTAGCCATTCTGACCTCCGAGAAGGCTCGCTCGGACTCCATCAGTCAGATCTTCAGCCTGGACTTTGAGACAAACCCGCAGAGGATTGCCGCAGACACGTCGTTAGCTGTGACCACAGAGCCTGTAGATATCACATATCATGAGGTAAGCTTTACCTGCCAACACCACGTCTACACAGCTACAGTATGCATCAGCTTTTGCACTGGCTTCAAGGTTGTGATGTGATTAGGGTTACGTACGAATAGGGACAGATATTTTGCAACAAATATCCAGTCTGTTAGTACATATAAATCCTGATTATAAAATACCAAATAATTCTTCACATTTACTCCGAGTTTTCTAGGTTTTGACTGATGGCATTCCTCCAGGGTACATCTTCGTAAAATCAGAAAACATTAAATGTTATGCTTACTTTATGACTTTATCTAAAATGTCTGTCCTTCTTACGTACGTAACACTTTTAAAACAATATCCATCATATTTTCTAAAATACAAAACCAGTTATATCCTTTGCAGGTGAGGATATTTGTTCAAAGCTTGCAATGTTTACAGCAAAAATTGAGAGACCAAGATCCTAGTTTTAGCATCAAAACTTAAATGTCTTCTCAAATGTCACACTTTTGGGCTCATTTGTGTTCAAAAATGATTTCTGTAGTATTAAGAGGAAAAAAATCAAATGTTTCATTAAACATCAAAATCCCATCTTATGAAAATCAAATGTGTTTTGGTTTTAAAAGAAACTATCTGTTGTGAAATTCTGCCGTTCACTTCAACTCCGATATTTACTGTATTAACCCTTACCCTACTTGACCCTCCAATGCATGCCAATTGTGCCTCAAGAAAATCTCCTATGTTTTTTGCATGGCCCTCCAATATCTGCCATGTCATTTCAAGGGTAACTGGACAGGCACTCCAATACATGCCACAGAGAACAATGAGAGTCCTCTGATAACAAAGTGAGTGCCCCCAGCTGGTCAGTATCAGGCACCCTCCAGGGCCTCCAACTCCTGCCAATTGGAGCCTTCACTGTTAAGACTTGTTATCTGCCAAATAACTGCAGCTGGAGGGCATTGGCATAACCAACTGACATGCAGTAAACTACCCTCAGAGAGTAAGGGTTAAGAAGCTTTTCATGATTTTTTAAATCTTTTTTTCTCAGCACACTGTTTCTGAGCTGATCGCATTCCTGACCGTGCCTAACCTTGATGTGGAGGCCTTGAAAACAGCAGCAGCTACACAGCTACAAGAACTAGCCAAGGCTGGTAAACAGGGATTGCTACACGCCATAGAGAACCACAAGGTAGGAGCATTGCTAGTACTGAACCTCATACATATTCATGAGCAAGAGCCAAATTCTAATTGACTGATTGCGCTCTCTCAGTAAGTGGGTATCAAACGTCAACAAACATATGGGCCGCTGTTGTATAGTACACGATGATTGTTGCATTTGAACAAACAAACAAATACTCGCAGGTTTAAACCCAGCTTCAGTCAATGTTTTTGTTCAACTTAAAAACTGAAACAAAGGTTTAGTAGTGATTCTTGTTTATCTTCTTCAGACCATACAGATTGATGTTGACATGAAGTCACCTAACATCATCATACCTGAGTTTGGTTCCTTGGATAAAGGCGGTCATCTGCTGGTGATTGACCTAGGTAGCCTGAGAGTCAATAGTGATCTGCAGAGTAGCCTGGCAGACAGGATGAATGTCGCTCCTGGGGTGAGTACAACCTGGGTTTCCTGGTTAGGTTGATGATTGACCTAGGTAGCCTGAGAGTCAATAGTGATCTGCAGAGTAGCCTGGCAGACAGGATGAATGTCGCTCCTGGGGTGAGTACAACCTGGGTGTCCTGGTTAGGTTGGTGATTGACCTAGGTAGCCTGAGGGTCAATAGTGATCTACAGAGTAGCCTGGCAGACAGGATGAATGTCGCTCCTGGGGTGAGTACAACCTGGGATTCCTGGTTAGGTTGGTGATTGACCCAGGTAGCCTGAGGGTCAATAGTGATCTACAGAGTAGCCTGGTAGACAGGATGAATGTCGCTCTTGGGGCGAGTACAACCTGGGTGTCCTGGTTAGGTTGGTGATTGACCTAGGTAGCCTGAGGGTCAATAGTGATCTACAGAGTAGCCTGGTAGACAGGATGAATGTCGCTCCTGGGGTGAGTACAACCTGGGTTTCCTGGTTAGGTTGATGATTGACCTAGGTAGCCTGAGAGTCAATAGTGATCTGCAGAGTAGCCTGGCAGACAGGATGAATGTCGCTCCTGGGGTGAGTACAACCTGGGTGTCCTGGTTAGGTTGGTGATTGACCTAGGTAGCCTGAGGGTCAATAGTGATCTACAGAGTAGCCTGGCAGACAGGATGAATGTCGCTCCTGGGGTGAGTACAACCTGGGATTCCTGGTTAGGTTGGTGATTGACCCAGGTAGCCTGAGGGTCAATAGTGATCTACAGAGTAGCCTGGCAGACAGGATGAATGTCGCTCCTGGGGTGAGTACAACCTGGGTTTCCTGGTTAGGTTGATGATTGACCTAGGTAGCCTGAGAGTCAATAGTGATCTGCAGAGTAGCCTGGCAGACAGGATGAATGTCGCTCCTGGGGTGAGTACAACCTGGGTGTCCTGGTTAGGTTGGTGATTGACCTAGGTAGCCTGAGGGTCAATAGTGATCTACAGAGTAGCCTGGCAGACAGGATGAATGTCGCTCCTGGGGTGAGTACAACCTGGGATTCCTGGTTAGGTTGGTGATTGACCCAGGTAGCCTGAGGGTCAATAGTGATCTACAGAGTAGCCTGGTAGACAGGATGAATGTCGCTCTTGGGGCGAGTACAACCTGGGTGTCCTGGTTAGGTTGGTGATTGACCTAGGTAGCCTGAGGGTCAATAGTGATCTACAGAGTAGCCTGGTAGACAGGATGAATGTCGCTCCTGGGGTGAGTACAACCTGGGTTTCCTGGTTAGGTTGATGATTGACCTAGGTAGCCTGAGAGTCAATAGTGATCTGCAGAGTAGCCTGGCAGACAGGATGAATGTCGCTCCTGGGGTGAGTACAACCTGGGTGTCCTGGTTAGGTTGGTGATTGACCTAGGTAGCCTGAGGGTCAATAGTGATCTACAGAGTAGCCTGGCAGACAGGATGAATGTCGCTCCTGGGGTGAGTACAACCTGGGATTCCTGGTTAGGTTGGTGATTGACCCAGGTAGCCTGAGGGTCAATAGTGATCTACAGAGTAGCCTGGTAGACAGGATGAATGTCGCTCTTGGGGTGAGTACAACCTGGGTGTCCTGGTTAGGTTGGTGATTGACCTAGGTAGCCTGAGGGTCAATAGTGATCTACAGAGTAGCCTGGTAGACAGGATGAATGTCGCTCCTGGGGTGAGTACAACCTGGGATTCCTGGTTAGGTTGGTGATTGACCGAGGTAGCCACAAAGATTGTGCCATGAAGATTTCAACAAAATTAGGGAGGCCAACAGTAAAAGCGTTGTGGATGTTTTAGCGTTGACTATTTTGTGTTTTTGTTGGTTTCTCATAGGATGCTACACCGACGGAGATTGAAGCTCGTTTGTATGACAAGTTTGTGGTGCGATTGGATGACATTCAGGTGCTGCTGGTCCATTCAGGTAGGTGATGTCTCAAGACTCTGCTTCATACTGTCAGTTACTAGCAACCAATGGTTGCGATACCATTGTAAAGGCATTGGCAAAGTTGGAGACTTTGGAGTTGGTGTAGTGCAGAACTGTAGTCCTCCCAAGCAAATCAAGATTCAGTGAGTCACAACTTAAGGCCAAAAAAAAAAATGTAGTCGGTCTGTGGTCAAAGCGCATTTTTTTCCCCACATATTCTGCACTAGCTCCACAGCGCCCTCTATTGCCGCACTGCCTCATGCTACTGAAACCGGAGATAAACGCTGGCCTGATAGTCCATATTGGCTTGTGACAGACTTTACTTTTGATTTAGTATCAACAAACATGGTGTCCTTGCAGAGTCTTTAGCAGTGTTATTTGCCAGTTACCTCTGGGCTGATTGAAGCTCACTTTAGGAGCTTTTAAAAATGCTTTGACTTGATTTTGCTTCCAAGGTGATGACTGGCACGAGGCGATCACTCAGAAGGAGTCTGATTACCACCTCATCCCTAGCATGGGACTGCAGCTGAATGTCTTCAACAGCGTGAAACCAGACTATAAAGCTCTTCCTCAGTGAGTTCGCATTGCAATTATTGGAACAAATTTTCAGATTTTGTCATTTTAAGGAGATGATGTGAGAATTAAGAAAAGATGTCGGGTGTACTTGCAAACGAATAATGATATCGACTTTTCATATGATGGAATTTGTGTTGGAGTGATGTGAATTCAATATCGGGTTTTGCTCTTCACTGACGTGTTTTTATAAACACTGTATACTCAGTGTTGTCCAGATTGATTGTGAGAAAAACAAAATCACAGCAGGTCATAGGTTCGAGTCCCACCCGAGTGATTTCTTTTTTCACAATCACTTGTAACAAAACTGAGTTTAAAAACAATGGCAAGACACAATATGAAGGGCAAAGCCCAATGTTGAAGATTTCCTCTTTTTATCTGGTTGTCTTTTGCAGGCAAAAAATAGAGGCTGTCCTCCCCTCCTTGAAGCTGAAAGTATCTGACAAGAAGCTGAACACAATTCTAAAGGTAGATCTCAACTTGATTCCAACTGTAAATATGAAAAGATATCCTCTTTTCACACTTTCAAGGCTCTGGAATTAGTCATTCCAAAATTCATCAGTACGGTATTTTTTTGATTAGCACAGTCATGAAATTGAGTACTTGAGTGAATACCTCTTTATTAAAGCTCAGCAAAACTGGCAATATTTCTAGCATTTTGTTTCTTAATTTCTCTCTACAGTTTGCCCATAATTTGCCCCTACCTAGCAGCAGAGTGACTGAGACAGGACCGCCAAGGGGAGTCATCTTGGCAATGGTAAGAAAACAATAACATTTGATGAATTCAGAATGTGATCTTCAAACGAGGACTCGACCATTAATCAATTTCCTAAGTTTACTGCCAAAAAGGTTATACAGGGTGAGTAAAAAAGAAACGGAACCCAAACTTCCAAAAATATATTACAAATGTAAAACAAATATGTGGCACCAAAAATAATAATGACTATAAAGCCAATTTCATGAACTACTGTTAGGGGGTTTGGTTTCAGCTTTTTTGACTCACCCTGTGGTTGCTTCTGAAAGATTTTTGGAATGGAATACTTGGACCACATGTTTCTTTAGGATCATTTGATATTCTATTCCTAGGATCCAAGACACATAAAGAGAGAAACCACATTCTTTGCCCTGAGGAGGATTAAGAGAGCTGCACGTCGAAAGAGCGGTAGAGGTGTCGCTAGGATGAAACGAGATGAAATGGACTCGGGACCTCCCGCTGAAACTCTAGGAGCAGATGGGGATGACTCAAGCTCACCTGGTAGGTAGTTGAGGTTGAGATGGAAGGGGTGGGGCAGAGGTGTGGCTAGCATGAAATGAAATGGGAGTGACTAGGGACTCTAGGAGCAGATGGGGATGACTCAAGCTCACCTGGTAGGTAGTTGAGCTTGTAGAGATACAGAACTGACATGAGGCTTCGATTTAATTTATTAAATTTGATTTTCTTTTCTGTTTTCTTTTCCAGATAGTGATGATTTTTACTCCGCTTCCGATCATTCCGACACCACCCTACAGCAGTGGGCGGCCGAGAGCCCTGTACCCAGCTTTGATGACAATGACTCTCATTCCAATAGAACCAGCATACTCATCAGATTCGCAATCAGAGAGGTAGCAATTCAAACTTCAGCAAAAAAGATTCTCTTTTTTTTCTTGCAGAGAAGTTTAATTATGTTTTTATTTATATTCCCAAGATATTGGGAGATGACTTCATGAAGAAGCTTGCTTTGATTAAAAAGATAATTATTTGGTCGATAATTTTATCAAACTTTCTAGGTTGTCAAAGATTTGAAAACCTAGATTGATGCCTTTTTCCTAACTTAATTCTTTTTGTGTTGCAGCTGTATCTGTTTCCAAAAGAATATTTTGAAGATTTTACTCTTGTCAATAGACTGATTCCATGAATTGCTGCCCTTTCTTTTCTCAGATGGTCCTATCAGTCTCCAAAACCCAGAACCCTCCGCCCTCCTCAATCCCACCCGCTGCATCTTCCCCTGATACACCGGACACCAGTGATACCGAGTACCTGTCGCTGCGTATTGACTCCATGTGCATTGACGTTGCCATCAGTACCTATGGTCTGGCTGTCCAGCTGGGTCTGAAAGGCGTCCGGATCATTGATAAATTCCACATGGGTTAGTGTATACAAAAGTTCATCTGTTGTCTGTATTTTTCTTTTCTTTTTCTTTTCTCATATTTACAGGTGCACTTTTGGGGGAAAAGGGTTATTGCAGTTTGTGAAAGAAGTTTGCACAAATCATTAATAAATAATAAAGACAGTGTAAGCATTCCTATTGGTCGAGAGCCGTTACGTCGCCGGTCTTAAACGGATGATAAAGACATGGCTGGCTGGTCTTAACCATTTGTCCAGTGTCACATGAAATTTGGACTCCTATGAAATCCAGTGCCTTTTACCGTTTTATTGGTTGAACGTCCACAATCCTCACATAGGCATGCGTAATATTTTCCATGACACTAATGTTGGCTTGAGGGTGCCATTTATGTGAAAGTTCAGTTATATTGAATTTGAGTTGAAGTCATGTTGAACATTTTGCATTTGGCAGGTCATGATGGGATGTATCTACATCTACTCAGCTCAGCTTCCAAATCTGATCTGGTGTCTGTTCTCTACAGAAAGGTACACATTTTGCTTACTCTAGCAATTTATTCAAAATACATCTCACATAAGACAAAATAAGACAGTTGGCACTTTTTTTATATACAGATTGTTGACTCTGTAAGTGTTTTTTTTTTTCCTCCAGGTGGATATAGCTTGCCCGGATTTTGTGGCCTATTACAATGCCATGGAGCAGGCTGCGGTGGCTAAAGTGACTGCACTGAATGTAGTATTCCATAGAACCGCTGCACTGGTTCTCAAAGATTTCTTGCAAGAATTAATGGACAGGTGAAATCTAAATGAGACAGAACTGGGCAGAGGTCGAAATGAAGGTTTGCTGGTATTAGGAAAGAGAATACAATTCTCCTTACAATCTACTGTTTGTTGCACTTCAATCTGACATTCCTTTGACAAAGTTATTTATCAACATGTCCAAGAAGTAAAACACTGAGAAAAAGGCCTTGAAAGCTTCAAGTAAATCTGAAAAAAAAAAAAAAAATCACCCCCATTTTTTTTTTTACTTCATTTTCCCCACTACAGCCTGTGCCCAGTTCGGTCTCATTTTTCCAGAACGCCTCACATTTATTCCAGCCTCGACTATCACAAGGCAAAACTGCTAAAATATTCATGATGTTGCAGCATGTCTTTGTAAGGAAGCAGTCACTATTTATTAAGGAGGCAGTCAGTTTTAATATTCCAAAATAAGTTTCACAATTCGTATAGGGATGTGTGTGAATTTTTCTCTTTTTGCTGAAAGAACACACTTTTTTGTAATCTGTGGACAGAACTTTAAAACGGTTGTTGTGTTTAAAATTCCGTAACTTGACAAGTACATGAGTGATTTGAATGATTCTTGTACTAAAAGAAATCTTATTGATTGGGCTTTTATATCCTCGATTTTGAAAGTGCTACATGCAGAACTTCATTCCAAAACTGGTCCCCACATTTGGGTTCCTTTTTTTTTACTCGCCCTGTACAGAAAAACATCAACCTAGTCATGTTTTCAACTAATTTTTCTTTCCAACATTTAATTTCTCCCTTATCATTCATTGCTGTGATAGAAATCTAAGATGATTGTTTTTAGATGTCTCTTTTACTTATAGTTTCAAGAACTCAGGTCTTGGTGAAGCAGCATCCACCCAGCTAGATGGAACTACCACTGAGTCATCGCCCAGTGCTCCTACTGAACCCAAATCCACCCAAGAAATTCCAGACAAACCACCGCCGACCACCTCACCTACAGATCAAGGTAGAAACAAAATCTCTCTAACATTATTACCTCTGCCAATCAAGGAGGTTATGTTTTCACCGGCATTGGTTTGTTTGTTTGTTGGCTTGTCTGTGAACAGGATAACTTGAAAAGTTGTGGACGGATTTGCATGAAACTGTTTTAGGGGTGGTCCTTGGTACAAGTACGAATGGATTAGAGTTTGGAAGTCATCCGAATCTACGTATAGATGCAAGGTTTTTTTTAATGATTCTTCACCACATTTGTGCGGAAACGATTGCCTGTGTGTCTATATACGTACATGTGTGGGGTTGGGAGAAACAATGAGTGACAAAGTGTCTTGCCCAAGGGCACACACACCATAGCCGCAGGTTAGACTCGAGCCCACAACCTGCAGAATTACCTGCAGACCACGAGTTCAATGCTCCACACCACGAGGCCACTGCACTCCAATCTCTTTGGAAATTCCTCTGGTCACGAAACACCATCTTCAGTTGATCCACATAGTCCACAAGCTTCTGATAAGAATGATCATGTCTCTTTGCTGTCCAGGTCCCAAACCCACTGAGCCACGAAGCACCACCAAGTTCTTTGCCCTGGCCAAGCTGGACTACCTGTGTCTGTCCCTCTGTGATGTGAGTGACTTCTTAGCGAATATCTTCATCCGAGATCTGGAAGTATCTGCCAGTGATAGAGCTAGCAGAACAACCCTGAGAGCAAGGTACTAAATGATTTGTGGCTTTTTTTGGCAAATTAATTGAGAGCTTCAGATGGTTCAGTAAGAGTAGCTGCAGGGTTCTACTTTAGCGGTAGCCGGCTAGCCAAATGCTAGTCAAAACAGCGGGGGGCTAGTCAAACTATTCCTCAAGTAGCCCGGCTGCGAGTCAAAATTATTGGTCTACGGCAAAGATAAAAGGACTGGAAGAAACCTATATCAATGTGTGTCTCATTTTAACTATTTGAGCTAAATTATTGTGATGTGCACTTAAAGTAAAATCTTGATTTCACAGGTTGAGAGATTTCTCCATCGAAGACCCTGTCGACAACAGCGTGTACTCCAAGATCTTATGCCTGCAGGACCAGACAGCATTTGATGTCAAGGTAATTCCAATCAGGAGGAAAATATCCTCCATGCCAAATATCACTGTTTTTAGCTACGGAAAGCAGCTTTAAAAATCATTGTATCATTGGTTGGTTGGTTAGTAACAAACGTCAGCACATGCCTTTTTTGGTAATCAATCACCATGTCCCTTAGGCCCTGGTAGTACAGTGCTAGCCAGAGTTTATTGCAGTCTTGGAAAATAGGGTTGTTAGTTACAAACGTCAGCACATACCTTTTTTGGCAATCAATCACGTTTTCCCTTATAGTCAATGGCATATGGTCGGTTCCGAGCTTCCAAGATCATTTCGAGCTTGTTATAAGACAATCTCGTGAAATCCGTTGTAGATACCAAGTAATGATTAATATTATGTCACACTGTATTAAATTGCCATAACATGGTGCCCTGACATTTCTGTGTTTCTTCACATTTACCAGTTTGGAATCTTCAAGAAGCTTTCGGTTACCAGACCCAAAGCCCCACCCAAAGCTGCCAGCAGCTTCTCCGAGTCTGACGGAGTCACGTCCTCGCCAACGGGTCCGTCTACCAGACCGGTTCCGGCACCAGACCCAGTGCACATTGACTACAGTCTGAGGTTCCGAGGGGGTAGAATCCAGGCAGTGCTTATGGGGCAGTTCATCAAGAATGTCACTGTGAGTAGAAAAAGACATTTCAAGAAATTTTGTTTCACAGAAATTAACTTTAAAATCCCCCATGCTCTTTTTTGAATTTCATCCCATAAATAAATTGTTTTTGCTCAATTGCTATTTTTTTCTAGCAATACAAAACTTATTCACTTTTAAATGAGACAAAGACCGAAAAAAATCAGCCCACATTTAATTATTGAATCATTACTTTACAAATGTCAAATTACTTGCAGCCTGACACTTATTAAATTTTCATGGGATATATAGGCTGTTTTTTTCTTAAGACACAAAAAGAATTTGCATAAATACATCCTCATCTTTTTTCCCCCTGTATACAGACTTTCTTTCAACCATTTATCAAGCAAGAGGAGATCATGCAAGCCAGTGAAAGCTCCAGAGTAGCTGTCCAGAAAAAGGTAGGCTGGTCACTTCACGTCTGAAATATTCAAAAGATCTGTGGAGACATCGACAGAATTCGGTCGATTCACAATGCAGTGCGCCACCAAGAGTTTGCCACGGAGAGTTCATTTTTTCCAGTGCATTGTGGGAGATTGTCAAAAAAATTCGCAGCGCGGGACATTTGAAATTTTTAGTTTTTCCGGTCAGTAGTTTCGTAAAGCATATGATTTGAGTATCTGTTTGGAAATGAAATATTTTAATATTCCAAAGAATGCTAATCAATAAAATCAAATGACAACTGTTCACAATTCAGTGCTGATGAGAGGCAAAATTCAATTTCAAATATTTATTTTATTTCATTTTATTTCTTTCTGGTAATGAAACCAAGGATTCCCCAAAAGCATCCTAGGCACTGTAGCTTGCAAGCCTGAAAAAACCTGTAGAGAGAAGACAATGAGAAGAAATTACAGTTTTAGAGGTGGGAGAAAAACCCCAGAAGAATATTCTGGGGAAAACCCACGGAATCAGGCAGGGACTGAAAACCCAATCCACATATTGGCCCAGGCCGGATTCGAACCCGGGTCACAGGGGTGGAAGGCGAGGAAAGTACCGCTACGCCAACCTGACTCCCCCTAATGCTGATGTGAGGCAGCATTTAATTTCAAATGAAATTGAATGGGCTTGATATTAAATTGAAGACCACTTATTGAAACTAGAAAACCTATAGTAACTCGGTTATACTTCTTAAATGTTTTTCCAGATGAAAGACCTAAGTGATGAAGGGATCAAGATCAGTTGGTACGTCAACATCCGTGCTCCAGTGCTCTTCATCCCCCAGTCACCTCAATCAACCAGCTGCCTGGTAGCTCATCTGGGCGATCTCATGCTGTCCAATCACTTTGAGGAGGTGGAAGTGGAGGGAGCCGATTCCAAGTCACTCATCGATCACATGTCACTGCAGCTGAACTCCATCGAGTTTTCCAGGTAATCTCCTACCCTCATCCCCAACTGGTCAAATTTAGAACGAAATTGACTAGAGCAGTGTTTGAACCTGCGACCTCCGGATTGCGTAAGTTTTTGCACAAGGATATTAAATGAAAATGAGCAATAACATGCATTGAATGTGATTCCTTTTGAATAGGGGATTGGTACAACCTAACCAAGTACTCGGCATTCATCGTCTGTTGATTGAACCTTTGACATTGCGTGTTCATCTGAAGTGGGCTGTATCTCCAGTTCATGAGTCTATCACGCCGTTGGACATCAGTATTATCCTGGATCACATCGAGGTAACACTCCTTCCAATACAAAACTGTACATGACATCCACCACTGACGCACTGGTTGACATTCATGGACTTGCTACACATGGCTTTGATCACAACAGCAGTACAGGAAGCTAGGCAAAATCAATCGGATATCCCTAGCACTGCTTCAGGCCATTTGGCCCAAGTCCATCATACTCCATCAGTATTTAGCCATGCCAGGCCTTCTGGACCAAGTCCCCCAAAATCCACCAAAACAGGTGGATGGATTTTGATGGAGTTGGGGTGGTTAGGGTTAATGTTCATTGGAGGGGTGCAACCACTGCCTCAATCCTGCAAAATCCTTCAACAAGCTCTGTTGATATGTTGAGGCAGTGTTGATGATATCTACATGTAGAAGCTGTGGGAATGATTTCAAGTATTATCTAGGCCTACATTTATGCATGGTTGAGCATAAACAACACAAGGTCCGGCCCAAGACCTTGACACAGTGCATCCTCCAAAATCAACCGACACATTTTTGCCGCACAGCCACTTTTGTGAAGAGGATTTGGAAAGCTTAGCGATATTAAAAAGAAACATACAAGAGAATGTATTACAGAGGAAGACATGTGTATGTACAAACTCTAAATACACTCTATTGGTTTTGTGTGCAGGTTAATATCGGAGAGCAAGATCTGATGATAATTCTAGCTGTTATCAATGACAACCTACTGTACAGTGAAGATGCACACAGCCTAGAAGGTAGGAATTGTCTGGTGCTTCACTGGCAGTCAAAAGTCAAATCTGGCAGCTGCCATTCTCTGCCGTGGCGCAGTGCTCGCGTGAGTCACGTTCAGGAAGTGCACACGTACTCCGGGTTGCTTGGACCAGTAGGAATGCCAAAATGCGCGCGCGCCTCGTCTTTAAGAAAGCGTGCAGCTGTGAAGATTTGAACCAATCTGAATCAAGTGAATATAATGTTGTGTTACTGTGCTTGTTATGTTTTGAATCATTTCAGCACCAACCATCACGGTAGAAGTGCATTCCCCGGTTCCCCCCGGAGCTGAGACGCTACCTGATGAGCCTGTCACCCCTACTCCTGGTAAGAGCACCACGGTAGTGGATGCAGCCAAGAAGAGTGCTGTCCATGCTGAGTTCGTGCTGCAAGGAGTTCACATTACGCTCTTCACCAATGAGCCGAGACTGGTAAGATTGCCTCAAGCTCTAGTTTACAGTCGAGTCAAACTTTGTCTTCACTAAGGGATCAGATATCTACCCAACCGACGGGTAACTGCCGGTTAGCGGCGGGTTTTCCAGTGTATGAGCATTTTGAAAAGGATCATCCTAAGTCCTGAATATCGGCATATGCAAGAGGCCATCCAGCCAGGCCCACGGGCTCATTAAGATTGATGAGTCAAGTCAGGCAGCTACCCCAGGGGATTAACTACAGATTGCCAGTACAGCGTACTCTACCATGGGCCACCATGTTGAGGGGTTATTGGATTACATTACTCCAACGCCTTTGATTTTTGTCCAAAAATACGATTTCAAGAATCACGTTCCCTTGGAGGCCCATCTTTTAAAAAAAAGTGGATTTTATAAATCATATTGTTTGCCTAACCAGGGTTGTTAATAAAGATGTTGTGTACTACAGTTGTTGACAGTTTTTGAAACAGGTATTCTGTGTTGTTTTCTTTGTTGTTACAAACAGTTAGAATGTACAATAAATCACTCTTTTTTTTTGGACGAAACAGGTTTAAGGGTCATTGCGTTTAAATGATGATATTCTTTGAACGGATTGAGCAATTTTTTTCATCTAAAAGTAGTTTCTGAAATTGGCTATCCAGTCATTATTTTTGGTGCTATGTATGTTTTTTAAATATGAAAAATATATTTTGGAGGGTTTGGGTTAGTGGCGTCACCAGACTTTTCAGTCTGGGGGGGCACAGGGGGGGCACCAGCATTTGATGGGGGGGCACTTAGGTGGATACGGATTGCCGTCCTGGGGGAGGGGTCTAAGGGGAGGGGGTGCCCCCCTCCCCTTTGGAAAATTTTCGCATACGGAGGATGGGCTAGATGCAAAATGGTGCCACATTTGATGCTAAATTCGATCTGAAGATATCTCCAGAAATTGCTATTTTCGAGGTAATGATTTTAACAACGCGCAGAATTTTTTTTTACCAACCCAAATCTCAGATGGGGGGGCACTCGGGGGGGCACTAGGTTTTCCAGGGGGGGGCACGTGCCCCCCCTGGCCCCCCCTTGGCGACGCCACTGGTTTGGGTTCCGCTTTTTTTTACTCGCCCTGTATAGCAAAACCCAGTATTGTACAACAATAGTCTTATTTCTTGTTTGTTTAGCCTATGGGAGGCCAAGGGTTAGACCAGCGTGATCTACGCTACGGTCTGTCCAGCTTCCAACTCCAAGAAGTCAAAGGATCCGCATCGCTGTTCACCGGTGGTTCTCTGGAGCTACGGGCGTCGATGCTGAGCGTTACCCTGGATGATATACGGCCCAAGAGCCCATTAGCCATCAAGAGGTACAGTCTGAAAGCTGCTTTTTCAGGCAGTCGAGATTTTCTGCAAAGCTGCTGCTCATGCTGAACGATTCCCCGCACAGAAATCCAAAATGTACTCCAGGATGTTTTGTGTGATGAACAGATTTGTTTTGCAAAATCTCTGAGAGAATGTTTTTTTTTAACTTCTTTGAATAAGAAGTACCACCAGTTCTGGCGGGCTTCCACAGTCACGCTACCAAAAAGCATTCGACACAACATCAGGCAACTGAACTCTATGTATAATACTCCAATATTTGGGGGGTGTCTGAAATTAAGACACTCTGGAGACATTCTGAACATTTTAGTTTGCAATATTTCAATGTATTGCGCATGTAGTCGCTTCTTACTGTTTCAAATATCAATCTAATGTATGCTGTAATTTAGTTCTGCATCACTTTGATGTGGGATTTAGTCAAACTTTCTTGTATACCAACTTTTATCCATGCATTTCAATTTCAGTATCCTCCTGAAATCCGGCAAGAAGGGCGCCAAGGCCAAACCCCGGCCAGGAAACGGGGATTCCCCAATGATCTCCCTGACATACTCACGCAATGAACTCAACGATCAACTAGGTAGGTTGCCTGTACTTTCATTCCATTCAATTCAATTCAATCCAACATTTATTTCTATTCAATTACAAACAAGATAAAATTAATATAGCATGAACATTAAGAATAAAGGTAATTACAAAATTTGATTTAGTAATTTATGACATCTTACATGTAGAAACTTTTAATGAAACAAGACATTTTCAACCAAATATGGTATATAAGTATAGTGTTGTAAAGATTCAGATTAGGTATCAGAAAATCGTGAAAGTGTCAATTATCTATCAACAAAATTAATTAGATGTCTGCATAGTATCGCAAAGATACCAATTCAGCATCAAGTAGTATTAAAAAAACTGAAATCTAATAATGGCCTAATGTTTTGGCTATGCTTTTATCGGGATCCTATGTTGTATTTTGTAAGTAAGACTGAGTGTTGTCTGTAGTGGAGGAGTCAACATTTCCTCTTGTCAGCTTTAAAATTGTGTTTATCCACAGTGGAGTTCACCGTGGATGGCGTTCGTGTCAACATCTTTGTCCACTATCTCTTGGCTCTCCATCAGTTCTTCAGCAGCGCATTGACCAAACCAACGATCATGTCGCCAACCAGTTCGTTTCCTGGTGCAACATCTCGTCAGACATCAAGGTAAAACAGGTGGCTCAATTGACTATGCACTCCGCAGAGTTGTAATGAGTCACTGATTTTTGTGACTCGAGTCGAGTCAAGTCATTTTGACTCGAGTCGAGTCGAGTCATTAGGTCAAGAAGGTCGAGTCGAGTCAAGTCAAATATTTAGCTCGAGTCAATTCGAGTCACAAATATTTGAACACTATTTACCAAAATTTATCAAAGGAGGGCATAAATTTCGCCGGCGTTTGACACCACGCATTTCAGGTTGTTCTCGTGCTCTCACGGGCACTCGGGATTTCTCACTCTAAAAAAAAAGTTATAAAACTGGAACATGATGTTTAAATGATGATCTTTTGCCCAACAACATTTTTGAAGTTGTCAGAAATTGCCTCAGATCGCACCACAGAGCGTCTAGAATCCAAATTTGTTTCGGGCCCTTAAGCTGGCGCTGAACCCAAGCCATTAGGGCTTCGCGCTGGCGTTAACATTACTTCTGATCAAGCTCCATCGCCAAATTCTCACTCTCAGCTCTTACTCAAAGTTACCAGCCCTGACTTCATCCTTACAGACTTTCCCTCCTTGATTTTTTTTTTATCAAACAGGATGGCGGCAGAGCTAAGCCCCGTTGAGTTGAGGCAAGGAACTCTGAGGGTGACAGGTCACGTCAGGAAACCTGAGGTGGTACTCTTTGATGACCCTACCAGTGAGAATAGCCAGGTCCTGGTCATGAAGGTCAGTAGGGGTCAGAAGTGGGATGTTTGTTGGATAACTCTGCCTAAGGCAAACCCTGGCAGAAGAGATTCGGAACTTGAAATCTATGACTGTAAGTCTGGACCTGCTTTGGAGTTACAGAGCCTTAAAAAGTCTTGTACAATTGAATGCAATAGAAACTTTCAAATGCATATCGAAAAACTAGAAAGTAAAAGCAATGCTGCATTTCCTGGAATCAGTCATATTTGGAAAAAGCCAGTTTGGTATCTCGATGAAGTAGTCCGTGTCAAAGGTCATTCTTGATAAAATCGCTGATGTGATGATATGCGATGTTCAAGGATGCCTATTCTGCTTGTAATTAACACGCGATGGTCACATATACCCAATTGTTTGAAGACTTGTGTTCATTGCTGTCCGTGTGTTACTTTGCAGCTTGGAGTGTCGCTCGCTTACCAAGCAGACGTTGCTGAAGAGACGGCCATTGCCAACGTCACTGATGTAGAGATCTACTCTTGCGTATACTCCCAGCTTCTAACAACTGCATACAAGGTATTAAGTTTGGGGTGGGATGAAAAAATGCTTTCTGTCACCCTTGCTTTTTCATAAAATACAGAAGTTGTAGTCAAGCCTATCATCACGTCCATCACAAGTCCATCACGGGTCAGCCCCAAAAAAATTTGCCAAAGGCATTTCTTTGTATGTAATGGCCTCATCTCTACATGGTTATGTAATGATTTACTTACTCTGCATCTTCAGGTGTTAGAACCTTGTGCCCTGACCTTCACTCGATCAGTCAGTACTACTAGAGATGAAACCATGGCCGTTGATGTGACTGACGTCAAGCTTCACGTATCCCCCAGGGTGGTGTACATTGTACAGGGAGTGATTGAGGCGCTTGACTCGGTCAGACAGGTTAGTTAAACAATTATGGAAAGAAGTGGCTTAGATTTTGAAGTTTTGTAGATATGAGGCAGTTGTTACAGTTTTATGGAATGTACGAAGCATATTTGTTAAAAGTTCTAAAAGACAGTGCCCAAACTATCTACATCATTAATACTTAACTTTGGATTCAATCTTGCGTATTAGAAGCCCACTACCACCCGTCATCTGATAGACTATGACCAGGAAGATATGTGGACTCCTAAACCCATATTCTCTCACGGATTCCACAAAAGAAAAGGTAAGCAATCAAGGAATCAATCATTGAAGTCACAAAGTAATGATCAATACTGTTATTAATAATCTGACATACTTGTTCACTTGCAGTTTCAGATCCATTACTAATCAAATAATCAGTTGATTGTTTACTAATTTGCTTATTGTGTGATTTGCCTTCACAGGCAGCATGAAGAACATGGTTGACTTTGGTCCGGCGCCCGACCCCTCTGGTGCTAAACAAAAACTGACCGTTCAGGTTCCAAGGGTCAAGATCTTGCTGGAACTCGAAGAGGTTCAAGAATATGTGGCCATGCTTGGCATCCGCAGTGGGCTGCAGGCTACGGTCTGTGATTGGAACCATAGTGTAAGTGTGAGGTTTAGTATTGTTGCCTGAGGTATATATCGAGGTTCATTACTGCTTTGAGGATCAGCTCCATGGTACCTCTTTTTGAGACTTTGAACTGACTGATTTTCCCAAATGTGTCTGAGGTTCATCTCCATGATAAGAGCATTATCTCATGGGAACCTTGAGTTCAACTTGTGAATTATACATGTAAGTCTGTTGAGTAATCTCTTCAGATGAATAATACAGGTGAGGTACCCTTGAGGTTCATATCTAGAGGTTCACAAGAAAATTTGCACCAGGGAACCTCATATTCCATATTTACATTAATGTTTTTATATGGAATTGCCCATTAAGAAATTGTGGGCTGCTAGCACTTGGGAACCTCATATTGAATACTTCTTGCTGAGGCATCCTTTATGGTTCATGACCACAATGAGAAAGTTAGCACCTGGGAACCTCACATTAAGTACGCTTTGATATTGGTTTATTTTTAGCTGAATGCTTCTGCTGAAGTTTCCCTTGAGGTTCATATCTACAATGAGAAAGTTAGCACCTGGGAACCTCACAATAAATACGCTTTGATATTGGTTAATTTTTAGCTGAATGCGTCAGCTGAGGTTTCCCTTGAGGTTCATGTCTACAATGAGAAAGTCAGCACCTGGGAACCTCTCATTGAACCAGTCATGGAACAGGAGAAGGTCTACAAGCCCTGGGAGCTCATGATCAAGGTAAAAGCTCAGAATTACTACGGCTGCATGCTTAGAAAGTAATTAAGTCCACAGTGTTGGTTACTCTCAGCTCAAGTAATCCTGTAGAAGTTTTTCATTTTCATTTCTGGAAAACAAATTTCTGGAAACAAGCTTTCCGGGATGCCGATTCTTGTAATACATTGAAAGGTTTACCCTTAAACTAATGTTGTCTTGGTATGTTTCACAGATGACCCAGGCTGAAGGTCATCCCATCGTCTGCACAAGTCTGTATGATACCAACCCATGCAGTCAACGAGACAGCATTGATGGCGTCTTACCAATGATCAAACCTCCAGGCTCATACCCAGCCACAGAGAGTGATACAGAGAGTGACTCACAGGATGAGGCGGAACTAGAATGGGATGGGCATTACAGCAGCAGCTTCCTGAGCAGTGGTAAGGGTCAGAGGTCACAGGGCTTGGGTCAGAGGTCACTCAGTTGGGTTAGAGGTCGCAGAGTAATACAGAAAGTGACTGACATGATGAGGCTGAGCTAGAATGGGATGGGCATTACAGCAGCAGCTTCCTGAGCAGTGGTAAGGGTCAGAGGTCACTGGGCTTGGGTCAGAGGTTTCAGATTTGTTGATACTTGTTTGGATGCAGAGGGCTCTGCTTCATTGCATTAATTCAAATTCTTTTGAATCTTGTGATTAAAAAAAAACGTATCTAGATATAGGCAGTCCAATGGATGCAGAGAAGCAGTTCCAGCCAGAAACCATGTCAGAAGAAGATCTGGACGAAAGCGACTCGGAAGGTTTCTTTGACAAAGCCAAGGACTTCTTCAGTGACATCTTCTCCAGTGATACTGATGAGGAACAGGAGGGGGCAGGAGAAGAGAATGGAACGGCCCTGCAGAGAGCGACATCTCTGGAGGGAGGGAAGACAGACAGTGGAATAGCCTCCCTTGCCCAGCCAACTTCCGCATCGGTGGCCAGTGACATGAGCGCTGGTAAAGGTTTGTTGTCCACCAATGCTGTTACCTTATTGTCATGTGTGTTGTCCACCAATGCTGTTACCTTATTGTCATGTGTGTTGTCCACCAATGCTGTTACCTTATTGTCATGTGTGTTGTCCACCAGTGCTGTTACCTTATTGTCATGTGTGTTGTCCACCAGTGCTGTTACCTTATTGTCATGTGTGTTGTCCACCAGTGCTGTTACCTTATTGTCATGTGTGTTGTCCACCAGTGCTGTTACCTTATTGTCATGTGTGTTGTCCACCAATGCTGTTACCTTATTGTCATGTGTGTTGTCCACCAATGCCGTTACCTTATTGTCATGTGTGTTGTCCACCAGTGCTGTTACCTTATTGTCATGTGTGTTGTCCACCAGTGCTGTTGCCTTATTGTCATGTGTGTTGTCTACCAATGCTGTTACCTTATTGTCATGTGTGTTGTCTACCAATGCTGTTGCCTTATTGTCATGTGTGTTGTCTACCAATGCTGTTACCTTATTGTCATGTGTGTTGTCCACCAGTGCTGTTACCTTATTGTCATGTGTGTTGTCCACCAGTGCTGTTACCTTATTGTCATGTGTGTTGTCCACCAATGCTGTTACCTTATTGTCATGTGTGTTGTCCACCAATGCCGTTACCTTATTGTCATGTGTGTTGTCCACCAGTGCTGTTACCTTATTGTCATGTGTGTTGTCCACCAGTGCTGTTGCCTTATTGTCATGTGTGTTGTCTACCAATGCTGTTACCTTATTGTCATGTGTGTTGTCTACCAATGCTGTTGCCTTATTGTCATGTGTGTTGTCTACCAATGCTGTTACCTTATTGTCATGTGTGTTGTCCACCAGTGCTGTTACCTTATTGTCATGTGTGTTGTCCACCAGTGCTGTTACCTTATTGTCATGTGTGTTGTCCACCAATGCTGTTACCTTATTGTCATGTGTGTTGTCCACCAATGCTGTGACCTTATTGTCATGTGTGTTGTCCACCAGTGCTGTTACCTTATTGTCATGTGTGTTGTCCACCAATGCCGTTACCTTATTGTCATGTGTGTTGTCCACCAATGCTGTGACCTTATTGTCATGTGTGTTGTCCACCAGTGCTGTTACCTTATTGTCATGTGTGTTGTCCACCAATGCCGTTACCTTATTGTCATGTGTGTTGTCCACCAGTGCTGTTACCTTATTGTCATGTGTGTTGTCCACCAGTGCTGTTACCTTATTGTCATGTGTGTTGTCCACCAGTGCTGTTACCTTATTGTCATGTGTGTTGTCCACCAGTGCTGTTACCTTATTGTCATGTGTGTTGTCCACCAGTGCTGTTACCTTATTGTCATGTTTGTTGTCCACCAATGCTGTTACCTTATTGTCATGTGTGTTGTCCACCAATGCTGTTACCTTATTGTCATGTGTGTTGTCCACCAATGCCGTTACCTTATTGTCATGTGTGTTGTCCACCAATGCTGTTACCTTATTGTCATGTGGCTTTTGTCTTAGTTGCTAGTCACGCTTGTGTATTATTTTGCATTGAAGTGTGAAATACATGTAGTCCCAGTGGTTCCCTGGTTAGAATGTCAGACACTCTATATTGCTCGCTGTTAGTTTTTTAAGCAACAATTTTGATAGCTTTCAAATTATCCCCCAGTTGTAGTTTTTTATAATCTGAAACTTATCATTGAATGCCATGGTTACGGTGTTTGACTCATGTACGATGGAACATGGGTTCGAACCCTGATAGAAACATGGTGTTTGTGCTCTTGGGCAAGGCACTTAACTACAATTGCCTCTCTTCACCCAGGAGTATAAATGGGTACCAGTGAGGGTCAATCAATCAATCAAAGGGTCGACTCTGGGTGAGTGATAAAACAGCTGTGACCACAACTTGCCTGCTTTGTCTGTTGACCCAGTTTGACTAGTCACAGTGCTTGCTTGACATATGATCTGACTGCTGGTGACTAGCCATAGCAGGGGAAGTGGAAGTGAATTTTGACTGTCCGTGACTGCTTAAATAGCAGGAGGGTTAATGGAATTGAAAGTAGAGGAGACTTTGTTCATTTGACTTGCCATTGAAAAGCTATTTATCTATTTTTTTTGTCCTGTCTTTGATCAGATGAAACTGATTCTGATCTGACATCCTTGGAGCCTGAGTCTCAGGCCACGTACCTAATCATCAATTCCTGGGATCGCATGGAGCTGTCGGTCACCCCAAACACTATCGGTGTCCTGACCGACTTGGCCGGTGCGTTCACTGCCAAACCAGATCCTAAGATGCGACTTCTGGCCGAGCAGAAAGCAGCCTTGAGGATTGTCAACACTACGGGGTTGAAGGCCAAGATGTTTATACCTGCTGAGCTGTTGGTAAGAAGAAAATAAGAGATTTGATTCTTATTTTTCCCCCACAGTGCCCTTTGTTAATCTGGCTTAAGTCATAAAATTTTAATTTCATTCAAGAAAAGTTTTCTTAAAATAAGAATACATTTTTTAGACGATGCATCAACGAAGAACACATGGCTACAATAATTTTCTTGAAGTGTTAGAGATTATAAATATGTAAAGAAAAATATTTCTGCCTATAACCAGATTTTCTTGATAAATTTCTTAACACAACATATCAAGATAAGGTAACAATTAGAAATTGTACTATTTTACAAAAAATAACTATCTTGTGCTTTTGAAACAGGAACAGGTTTTTTTGGTGCCTGCTGAAGAAAATAATTCTTGGTATTGCTTGAAATATATTCAACTACAAATTTCCAATGCTTTGGTTTTTATCTTTCAGAGTTCCACAGCAGCTGAGGGTGTTAGCCTGGAGCCATCAGGTATAGATATACCAGATCAGCCTAGCCTATCCATCCAAGCCATGGAAGACAGGTGCGTAGCTCTAGAGAGTTGAAATAATCATACATCCCCTTTGTGAGTTGGAGGGTACAACCAGGAGTTTTTAATCCTAAAAATAAGAGGAATTTCTGATCAAAGTGCAACTCAGAAGCCATAATCCTTTATGTACCATGTAGCCAGGGATCACGCCCTAAGTCATGATTCTAGCAACATTAGCAATGCTGTAAACTTGAGAAATAGCAAACGGGGATCCATCAGAGAGGGAACATTTGTTATATTTATTTATTTATTTATTTATTTATGATTATTCCGCAATTGGCCGGGATAGCCAACAAAAGTCTCTCGACTTATTTCCAGTGGGGTCCCTTGGTAGAAGACGTGGAAGGAAATTACAGTTTTAGAGGTGGGAGGAAAAACCCCAGAATAATATTCTGGGGAAAACCCATGGAATCAGGTAGCGACTGAAAACCCAATCCACATATTGGTCCAGGCGGGATTCGAACCCGGGTCACAGCCGTGGAAGGCGAGGAAAGTACCGCTACGCTAACCTGATCACTGTCACCATCTACATGTTATGTTCTCTTTTGATCAGCGAGGATCCCATGGGCTACCTCAGTAAGGTAGTCAAGTCATCCAGATACTCAGAGGTCTATGAAGCTACTCAAGAAGTTGCGGATGCTACAGACGGACCACCGACTCCTAAACTCAAGGATCCCCAGTCTGGACAGTTTATTTTTGAGGTACATGTTAGCAAAGATGGTAGCATAGAATAGAAAGCTACAATATGCCTCGTCGTTACTTATTTTTGTGATTATTGCAACTTATGGACTCCAGACAGAAACACTACAGATGGCGTTATGTGGTCTACTCGGTTGAGCCTGCGCATGGAACGCCCTGCATGCATACACTGGTTTCTCATGTAGTATTAGCGCACACCTAATTTTGATATGATTGTACTCAAACCCCTAGTATCATTCCAAGGGTCCTGCGTGCACTGCAGCAATGCTGTTCAAGTGTCTGCTGTGTCTCTTTCTTAGCCACCAATGAGGGGGAACTTGTGCATGAAGTCCATCAGTTAACCCATTACCACCTGTACATTGTATTACATTGTATTACGTTGTATTACACTGTATTACCTTGCATTACATTGTATTAAATTGTATTACATTGTATTACATTGTATTACATTGTATCACATTGTATTACATTGTATCACATTGTATAACATTGTATTACATTGTATTACATTGTATTACATTGTATCACATTGTATTACATTGTATAACATTGTTTTACATTGTATTACATTGTATCACATTGTACTACATTGTATTACATTGTATAACATTGTATTACATTGTATAACATTGTTTTACATTGTATAACATTGTATAACATTGTTTTACATTGTATAACATTGTATCACATTGTACTACATTGTATCACACTGTATTACAAAGTTTTTATTCCCTGATGAATCCATAAAACCGTAGAATGCTCGGCAGTTTAGGGCGGCCTATAGCGGTACAGGGAGTAACAGGCAGAGCAGTTTGGGGCGGTATAGGATTCTGGTTTACTATAATTACAAGTCCTATTCCGTGCATGATGTCATCCTACCTCGTCATGCGAGTGACTAATCATCATTTTGCTTGTTTCCCTGCTTTACAGGTGGCGGGTATGGCTCCGATAACACACTTTGCCGCTTCTAAGGCCGTCAAAACGCCCTTTATATTAGCACCCTTACAGGCAAGCGCTCAGTCTCTCAACTTTCTTGCTTTAAGAAGCCTTCGGATACCTCTGTGCTCCACTCAGAGATTACTAATGGACTTTGTGTTTCCAGATCATCATAACAAATCCAAGACACTGATGCTATTCTCTTTCAATAAACTCTTAAACTTTGCCATTTATAACCATTTCAAAGCCTAACCATAATGTAATAGTGCTACATTAGTTCTATGTTGGTCTTTTTTTTTACATGCCAGAGGGCCTTATTGTGCAATGAGCCAATTGGAATATGGTTTATGACCACAGAGCCTCCTAACCTGCTGTCATTTTCCTATTAATTGCTTAACCTTTGGCATGCATCTTGTGTATCTTTGCACAGATATTTGATTGCAGTGAGGTTTTCCATTAAAAATTGAGCCCTCATAAGTGGCATTAAAACAAGTATCTATTCTAGGAGTAAACATTCCATTCGGGCGATTCACAATACAGTGCGCCCCCAAGAGTTTGCCACGGAGAGTTCATTTTTCCCAGTGCATTGTGGGAGATGGTCGACAACTTTGCAGCGCAGGACATTTGAAATTGATCATTTTTCCGGTAGTTTCGCAAGCGTATGATTCCAGTATCTGTTTGCCCTTTTCTTTCTTTTTATCAATATGGTGTTTTGTGTGAGGTGGCAGAACGCTATGCCCCAATCTATACCAAATTATCTTAGGTTTTCTACTGACACTCATTCAAATGGGCCATGTTTTGTCGACCGTAAACTTGAAAAATGGTCTCTCCAAGGCAAACTCTTGGTGGCACACTGCATTGTGAATCGTCCCGAATTGTTTTATTTTTAGCCCAATTAAAATTCCACCATATTAACTCTATGATGAGCTTCCAGGTAGAGCCATGCAGCTTTTTTATGTTTCTGAATTAAGTTGCTTGGTTTTGCAGGGAGGGGAGAAGTACCCCGTTGTTCGAGAAGTGGACATTTCCCACGGCAGGAAAACAATTAAAGTGCGGTCTCCGGTACAAGTAAGTATTCAGACAAAAGGAACCCCAAAACAGCCTAAATTCCACAGACAAATTACATGCGACTCTGAATGTAGTAAGAACACTGTATGTGTACTTCATCCTTTTGCAGTTTTTACTTTTGCAGATGAAATATTTATCAAATACAACACATACTAATTCCAAATATCTTTCTATAGGTGCTTCTTTATGCCTTTATTATTCATGGTTTCTTTTATCCTAACCCTAACGTCTTCTACCTATACTTTGTAATTACGAACTTATTTACTTCAAAACTAGCAAGAACTGAGTATCCACTTCTAACTTTAACTTACCCAGAACTTGTTTGGATCATTAAATCCTCGCGTCAGTGCGACAAGGTGGGATCTCTCGTATCGCTACATCCATTGACTTTGTGTGTACTACCATTGACTTTGTGTGTGGTTTTTTAAGCGAAATAAGACATTTTGACATAGAAAACTCGCGTTTCACGTACATGACGTCACATGCCATTTTAGGCGATACAACCTTGTTGCACGGACATGACGAAATGGTTTTTGTTGAAAGTAGTTTTGGCTTGTCAGCAGACATAGCTGATCAGCCAAAGCGTTCTGTGAGTGTAACACTGAAGTTTTTGCCTTGAATCGCATCACAGATTTGCTCATGAATACGAAAATTTGCATTTATAGAAACTAAGAAAGAACCAAAACGACTTTTGAAATGAAGATTGCAAATAAAGTAAACTGAGACACAGAGGTGCAATTCAAGGATTGCATGTCGAGCCCTTGAAGAGAATCTTTAAACTCTGCTCCTACAGGTGGTCAACAACTGCCCAGTTACCATGCAGTTGTACTACAAGTCGCTGGACCTACAGACCTTACAGGGCCCTGCTATACCAGGCCAGGGGCTGGAGGAGTTCGTCTTGCTGGCTAGACTCCAACCTAAGGAAGTCTTTGACGTTCCTGTCATTGTTGCTTACAACGCTGGGATCTATGCTTGTCCTGCCGATCAGGGGTAAGTCTAGTAGGCCAGTTTATATCACTGACCTACAGAGCCTTGTCCTTTGATTGGTGGAAATCACATCACGTGACATTCGTTATTGCTCCCATTCACGCCGCGGCTCAAAAAGTCCCATTCGCCCATGGTGAATGGGATTTACTATTCGATGGTTAGGATTATCCTTGTTCCATGGCGCGGTACGTATTTGTGTGCGAATACATAATGCATGCTGCTACACGCAATGCTCAACGCACATGCGTTGAGCGTTGCGTGTAGCACTCATTAATCCCAAGAGCCAGTAGCTACAGAGTTAGGTTCAAACATTTTGTGAAGGAGTGGTTTGGAAGAGAGAAATACATTTCCCACCAATTGTGTATTGAAACAGAAGTTCATTTTAACTGTAAATCAAATGACAAGGATCTATATGTCAGTTATATAAAACAAATATTGAGTGGCTTTAAATTGTGAAATTGGAGGAATATTATCGCACGGTAAAATCTGGACTTTTCCATTTCGCCTCATGAAATAAAATAGTCCAGATGTTACCTTGTGATAATAGTCCTCCCATTTCACTCTGAGCCACTCAATATTTGTTTAATATTTGAAGATCAAAGATTAAATCTGTTCATGGGAAAATAATTTCCCAATAGGCCTGAGACCTAATGCCGTAGCGCTTTGTTTACCTGTGCGCTTGCCTATGTGGTAGACGGTCCTTACCCGTAGGAAAGCGCATATGTAAACAAAGCCATTAGGTCTTAGGTCTATTGGGCAAACTAACATTGTCGTTATGTCACACCTGTACAATTGCTGTCCTTTTAAGCGGCCATTTTCTTTGGTCTGGTTCCCTTTTCACAGCTTTAGTATCAGTGAGAAGCCAATCAAATGGCAGGAGCTGATGTCCCCCACGGAGCTGAGCGTTCGCTGCATGTCCAAGCAGAAAGGAGAGCTACCATTCCACTTCAAGGTACTCAGTCATCTGTCTCTCAGTTGAGGGGTACTTGTGCTACATAAGAAAACAAAACATATTTCACGTTTATGACGTTCGCGAAAGTTGCATTTTACACCGTGCAGCTATAGAGCTCACTGTACACACTTGTATCTTGCTGTAGTGATGCACCGATGTGGTAGTACTGTCCTGCGGGCCTTCATGAACAATCTGTACAGCAACTTCCAAGATTAGAATTTGGAGTTGGGTTTCTTTTACGGGTGCCTGAATATCTGTGTATTTTTCAATCGGGTACCCTGTTCCCGTAATACCCGTAATTGCACAACTCTACCCACGCATGTCTACGCTACATACCTAGTGTGGACATTCTTTTGTTTTCTTGTAGTTAACAAAAACCTGTGAAAAAAAATCATTTTACTCAAACTTTGAAAACTCTTTCAACCCATTTTTTTTCTATGATTCCCTTTAGTGTTTCTTTTCATTTTGCCACGGATAAACCCAACCCAAAAATGCCTCTAAAACTGTTTTCCTGAGAGGGGGAAACATTGTGTGGACGTGGGCAAGTCCACACGACGTCGCTGCTACCTGGTTTATGTGGACCTCTTTTGTTCGGAAGTCCACACAGTGAATGCAATGCTTGTACACATCATGACCCATAGTTTTCCCTCACCACAGCAGACAATTGATGATGTCAATTTTTTTTTATATTTAGGTGACTCGTAAGGAGCAGAAACTCTCTGACAGTCTGAACTCCTCAGCTGACGTGCCTTCGTATATCCTGGATCTCTTCCCACCAATCACAATCCACAACTACCTCCCGTATGATGTCGTCTACTCCATGAAGGTCAGTCAACCAATCAAAGAAATCATTTCAAAGTTTTTAATCAATTGGCTCTCCGGGAGTGTGGCCTAGTGGTTAGGGTTCGTGACGCATGATCAGAGGATCAGGGGTTCGAATTCAACTGCTGGCCATATGTTGAGTCCTTGGGCAAACCACTTCACCCCCACTTGCCTCTCTCCACCAGGGAGTATAAATGGGTACTGGCATTAGCTGGGGAGTAACCTGCGATGGACTAGCATCCCATCCAGGGGTAACAGAAATATTCTCAGTCATTTCATGCCAAGGAAACATAGAGATTAACGCCGGTCTGATGGGCCGTATGGGCTTGGGACAGACTTTACTTTTTTACCATTTATTTTGCTTCGTGATAAATCAGTGAAACCATACAGGGAGTGGGCGTATTTTGGCAGTTCAGGTAGTAACAGGCAGGGCAGTTTTGGGCAGTAGAGGGACTAGTGGCAACTGTTATATAAAACTTGGAAAATTTTCGGAGAGATTTTGCAACTCCTCTGTTCTCTTTGCAATGCACGTTCTCACTAGAATGTTGCTCTTAGATAAATACGCTCATACAAAAACAGTTACCGTGGAAAGTGTTCCAAATTCTCGGAGGCAATGGTCCTATTTGATCTATCCAATTATTCAGATTTAAGAAAATTAACTGAAAGACATCAACATGGTACTTTCATATTCAGTCATCTTTAGCCTCCATTTTGTTGCATGCAGTTTTTATTTAAAAAAAATTTTCTGCATTTTTTTGGACAGGAGAATGGTCTGAAGTTCCTCTTGAAAGGAGACAAGATGGCGATCTACTCCACCGATCTCAGCGAAGCTCAGAAAATGAAGATACAGGTCTGAAATTCAACCCTTCGAAATCCATGGATCGTAAATGAATGACCACTGCCAAATATATAATCGTTAAGTCCAAAAAGAAAAATCGTGAACGAATCTAGAGGGCCCAACCTCAACCCCAACCAATTATTACGTCAGTTACTTTTTGGATAGCTGCATATGATGGACCGTACCTTTAAGAAGGACCAGAAAATTTGGGGGAAAAAATCATATATAATTGTAGTGCCAGAAAAGTTGGGTCGGTCAAGGAAGAAACGATTGATTTACATTCTTTCCTCAGGTTAAGAGTTACCTATCAGCCAACTGGGAAGGCAACCTCCTGGTCTCCAGGGAGATGAAATCCCACGAATCCGTGGCCATGGAAACCAAGGATACCGAAGGAGATCAGAAGAAGTATCTAACTCTGTGGGCTCACAGCACGACAGACGGCGGGACGTGGGATATCTTCCTATACACACCCTACTGGATTGTCAACAAGTCTGAGTTACCCATAGAAATCAGGGTGAGACTGCCTTCATTTCAGATTCATAAAAGCTAACACAGTTTACCCATTCCCATTGGTCGAGAGCCCATCACGTGGCCGGTTTAAACGGATGATAAAGACATGGCTGGCTGGTCTTCCACACTTTCCCAGTGTCACATGAAATTTGGACTCCTATGAAATCCAGTGCCTTTTATCGTTTTATTGGCTGAACGTTCACAATCCTCACGTAGGCATGCGCAATACTACCAGTGAGTCAGTATTTTATAGTCCTAAATTCACAACGCACTCACCACAGCTGCATCTGCATGTCATTGCGCAGTAGGTGCAATGCGCTCGCCAATATCCATAAAGGAGTTGTTTACGTTTTACTTGCGAGCTGGACACTCCATTATAGAGCTAGAGGGCTGTTTCGAAACACAGAAAGTAAAACTGTTGAATAAAATCAGTGGAAATTTTTAATTTTGGACTTGTTTTGACTGTTGGACCGAGAAGTTTTGATTTTTTGACCAAAAAAGGTCCTAACATATCCACTTTTCCTTGATAATTTTTAAGTTAAAAGTACACCAGCTGAAGTTAAACAAATAAATTTGTTTTCTTTTCAAACAGGCTTCAAGGTCGAGAAAGGTGTACAACAATCACTCAGTGAGCGAACCGATCCTGTTCAGTTTCACGAACACCAAGAGAAAAAAGGTATGGCCTACAAAATCTGAAAATATTGAGTAGTTTTAAGATAAAATTTCCACAGCCTTCAATATCACTGTCATACAATATTGATTTGCCAAGGTGAACATATCAGCATTAACGTTCAACCACAAGAACGAAGGAATTCAAGTTTTTTTTGGTTGAATTTTCAGGCCAAGATGCGAGTGTTTGATTCGGTGTGGTCAGCGTCCTTCTCCCTGGATACTGTCGGAAGCTCTGGTGTTGTCATTTGTAAAGATGAAGACCATGACAGAACGTACCAGGTAATATATCTACCGTATCTTACCTCTGTTTGTGACGTATATTTTGTTTTCCATATAGCCTGGTTGTTATTTTGAAAATTCCCTACGAATGACTTCAAAACCTTTCTCTTTCATTGTCTGAGAAGTGACTAAGTAATTTGCAAAGTTGGTGACGGGTTCCCGATCCCATAATCGAGAATGGGTTCCTGACGTTAACGGTCAGGTACTCAGGTACCTGGTTCCGATTCACAGTCCTAGTGGTAACATGATGGAAATAAAAAATCCACTGTCGCCATTCACATGGAGACTTGACTTAATACCAACACACATTAATTATGAAGAAGAAAAACAGGAATTGTTTTTCAGTTACTTTTTTGTAATTAAGCAGCTAAATAATTGAAATTTATAAATTATGTTTTTAAATTTTATTTTGCAGTTTTGGTTGGAGATCTCCTTATCCAAGCTGACACTCACCAAGATAGTGACCCTAACGCCGTATTTCCTAATCCGCAACAAGACTGACCATGTACTGTCCTATATGGAGGAGGGAGTCCGAGCTGGTATATGGGTCAATATTAAACCTACTGAGGTGAGCAGAAACATTATCATTGTCATCTTAGGCCTTGTTCATAAAGATAAAGTGGTTATATTTTACAAATACTGAACGTTTATGAGTGCAATGGTAAGAATAATTTCATGAGGTGACAGATGGAATATTTCATTGCACGAGGTGAAGGTGAGTGGAATGGAACATTATACAATTGTTGCCTGCTGTGGCAGGGTCCATGGTGTTTGTACATCCGAGGCGGAAAATGGCACCCGAGGCGAAGCCGACAGTGCCATTTGCTCCCGAGGGGCATTTCAAATGCAAAGCTACTTATGTCTATATCCCATGGGTTTGCAGGTGCTGCCATTTTGGCCTGGTAGTGAGTCCATGAAGTTGATGTGTAAGAGAGCCGAGACACCAGACCAACTCTCCTCCAGACACTTCAGTATTGACAGCTCACATTCCACAGTACTGCGGATGGAGAGAGGGGTAGGTCTCATGAGAACTTTTCTGTTACCCTTGAAAACCGGATTAGTAGTATTTTTATTTATTTATTTCTGGTAATGAAACCAAGGATTCCTCAAAAGTGCCCTAGACACTGTAGCTCGCAAGCCTGAAGAAACCTGTAGAGAGAAGACAATGAGAAGAAATTACAGTTTTAGAGGTGGGAGGAAAACCCCAGAAGAATATTCTGGGGGAAAACCCACGGAATCAGGTAGGGACTGAAAACCCAATCCACATGCATGTTGGCACAGGTGGGATTTGAACCTGGGTCACAGCGGTGGAAGGCGAGGAAAGTACCGCTAAAAAGCCTGAATCTCAAATAAGCATGATTAAATAATCCACGTCATCTTTTGTCAGTAACTTTATGTAGTGTAAGAATATAACCTTGCTAGACTTCTCTACTTTAGAAGGCTGCTTCACCAGATGACAATTTATTGAGAATGACCAGCTTTTTTGGTTTGTTTGTTTGTTTGAATTCAGACTGCGTTAACCGTTGAGACAGAGGGGGGTGTGCGAGGACCAACCACGGTCACCTTCATGCCTTACTCCATCGGACAAGCACCAGTCAGAGTGGACAATCTGTGCGATGATGTCAACCTACGCTTCAATCAAAAGTAAGTCGAATGTAATTAAGAAATTAATGCTGGTTTGCTTACAGAAGCATGTCAAAATGATTAAGTACAATGTTTTAAAGCGAAATAGTGAAAAAAACTCGAAATTAAAAAAAAAGAAGTTAACTGGTGTGGCTCTTTGTGAAAACGGTGACGAAATATGCACCAGAGAGGTACACTACATAATTCAACAGTTTACATCTAGCATCTTCTGCTAATTAACCTGAAACAATCCAAGCATTTTGATTGGTTGTTTTGAATAGGAACATTGGTGGTAGACTCCTTCTCCAGCCGCACAAGACGATGCTCCTCACCTGGGATGATCCAACAGCAGAGAGGGTCTTTCTGTGGAATCTGTACAACAGAAACAAGAAGTCATTTGATTGCATCACTGATAGGGTAAGATTTACCATTGTTTAAAGGTAGAGTCGACCGTTTGCAGCTATCCAAAAAATAACCAACCAAATTATTCTGAAAAAGCTTACTTGGTTTAAAGATAGTAATGGCACTAAACTCCCTGTGAAATTATTCCTTCGGGCATCCTGTCATTTTGAAGAAAATAATGAAATAAAATCATTCCCAGAAAATTGACCAAAACGAGCCCCCTAAGTTTCCCATAAAATGTAACTACCAATTGTCCAAAGATATGTCGTATTTGTCTCATTAATGCATTATCCAATGCCTGGTTTCAGGATGGTTGGGGTAAAGTGACTGTCAGCGTTGATAGCATCAAACGAAGCATGATGCCTGGAGATGGACTGTACGTAGAAGGAGATGATGCTAGTGTCTACAGCTCAGATGAAGGTTTGTAAATAGCTGAAGGTACTGGAGTATCATACAACACAGAAGGTCCTAGGCATGTTCCCAGCATGTTCCTATTTTGAGCAAACATTATGCCAGAGGAATGTTACAAACAATCAGCATCTCTACATGCTTTCTCTTATTGCTACCGCATTGATTTACAATGATTGAAAAACAACAATCATACCTTGGATTTGCCAGAGCCATGCTGATATATGTGCCGAGTATGAAAGTAACTAGTTACAGAGATCTGATATATATTTTGTCTAATTTTAAATGTAACAATTCCTTTCGTCACGTCTATGTTAATATTCACGTAGTGGGACTTAAAACATTAGATTCTATGTTAGAACACATAACCATGCATTATCAGATCTGGGAGCTAGATAATAGTAAAATATTCCTGGATGTCTGCGCATGCCTACACACACACACACAATATACAAGGTTTTCAATGATCTTATTACAGAGGATGCAGTAGATAGCCTGATGGAGCACCCATTGATGCATCGTAAGGAGAAGACGACCATCTTCTGGGTGTCTTACATGGATGGTTTGCAGAGAGTCCTCATGTTCACTCAGAGCCCTCGCATCGCTAGAGCTGCCTCACAGGTACTCTCTTGAAACATTCAATTCAGTCCTTCGTTAAACTCAGTCCTAGATTCATGACGATCGTTGAGACCTACTCTCCTCATAGCTCCGCAAGATTCTGTTCTATTCTCATGAGACATTTATCAGTCTAACAGAGTGATCAGTAGAATCACGACAATCATGTGACCTGACAATTAATGATGCATTGCTTAAAGATTTGGCATGGAAGTCTAATATTTATTTATTAGCTTCACTCTGTGATCAAATTGTGTGTTTTTTATTTTAACTGGGTAGCCCATTCAGTGGAATCCACTGGTCTCCCATGGGGCCCAGTAAAGAGAAGACAATGTGAAGAACAGTTTTAGAGGTGGGAGGAAAATCCCAGCAGAATATTCTGTTGGAAAACCCACGGAATCAGGCAGGGACTGAAAACCCATTCCACATATTGGTCCAGGTGGGGTTCGAACCTGGGTCACAGCGGTGGAAGGCGAACAAATTACCGCTACGCCAACCTCAACCAATGCCATTTCAAGCCAGCATATTGGCGATGAAGGTACATATGTGGAGTTGAAGGTAAATATATTATTCACCAAAACAGTGGGAAAATTAAGATTTTTGTTGGTGGTTGTTTTTTTTTGTGTGTGACTAAAATTGCATTTCTTTTAAACTTAAACTTATAGGCTAACATCTCTGAACTGGCCAGCCTGGAGCTGTTCATCTCACTAGAAGGTTTGGGTCTGTCCCTGATCAACTCCCTGTATGAGGAGGTTGCCTATGTCAGCCTGTACTGCCCACCTGCCAGATGGGAGGTGGAAACCAAACCAGATAAATGGAAGTCACTCAACATGGAGCTGTCTTCCATCCTAGAGGACAAGTTCAGGATAGGAGCGGGATCCGTGGCGATTGAAGAGGCTGTGGAGGTTAGTGGATTCACCCAAAAATAGTGGATTAGATGTTATAGGGAGTTTACTGGGATGTAGTCGAGTCCATCACATGTTTCTGCAAGTCCATCACAAGTCCGTTGCATGTCCTCCAGTCCCAATTCAACCACGGATCCGCTACACAAGGATAAACCACTCACCTGAGCTTGTGTACAAAAGTACGGAACGGTTTGTCTACATGCGTGATATGCCGCGTCAGCGCATAGAGCAACGCACAGAACATGTAGAACAATGCGCGCGCATCATGATCGTAGGCAGCTGGCGTCCTGACAGAAATTTGACCACTGAAAAACTGCTGTCGCGCGCCGAGTCTCGCGCTCGCGCATGCAAGACGCACAAGTGCCGTATCAGAAATTTGGGAAAGTCATTTATCCTTGTGTAGAGGATCCGTGATTCAACCCACAAGCTATTCAAATGAGCTTTGATAAAGACATTCCTTTGTGCTTATTCATCCACTGTTACTTGTGACTGGACTTGCGATTTACTTGAGACTGGACTTGCGATTTACTTGTGACTGGACTTGTGATTGACTTGTGACTGGACTTGTAGTTTACTTGAGACTGGACTTGTGATTTACTTGTGGTTTACTTGAGACTGGACTTGTGATTTTCTTGAGACTGACTTGTGATTTACTTGTGACTAGACTTGTGATTTACTTGAGACTGGACTTGTGATGTACTTGAGACTGGACTTGTGATTGACTTGTGACTGGACTTGCGATTAACTTGCAGTCCATGTTCATGATTTGATCTGCAGGCTGATCTGGTTAACAAGACCATCAGTAAACCCATCGAGGGTCGTCTACGTCGACTCTTCAACCCAGCCCTCTGGGTGCACTTCAGGAAGTCTGATCACCACACTGGGCTGCATGTCAAAGTCCAGAAAGTCCAGGTAGGATCTTGAATTCTGAAGAAGAACTAGGGATAGTTGTTGCGAGTAGAAGAGGGTTGTAGCGTTAACCAAGCTCTGGAGAAAGTCATCAGGGATGGTTAGGACTATGAACAGACTTCCACTTTTGTCACCATTTATTTTGGTTTTGGGGTTTTTGGTTGAATGTGTGTTGTTTTGAGTTGGAGCATCTTTGAGACTCAGTGTGACTCAGTTTTTGACACTAATGTTGCGGAAATGACTCATTCAAGTAATAATGATAATAATAATGTGGCACTTATATAAAGCTTTATATCCAAGGTTTCGTTCATTTGAGGGTTGAGGGTTCGTTTTATTTTTTGGGACACCATGTAGTGTGTCAGTGAAGGCCTAAAACAGTTTTAAAAAAAATCCATTGAAAATCATCCATTTGTCCTGTTGTTTTCGTGTCTTTTCTTGTTTTCTTCAGATCGACAACCAACTCTTTGATGCTTACTTCCCAACGGTCCTAAACGTCCTCCCCATTCCTAAGGCTATTCTCAAGAAGACAGGTCCCCGACCGTTCATTGAAATGGCATTGCTACGACGTCAGGTACCAGAGAATGATGTCGACACAGTCAAGTGAGTAGACACAGTCGAGAATCTAAAAGGAAAAGTGAAATTTAAACGATGGCAATCTTGGAAAGATACTCTGTCTAGAAATCGATTCTAGACATCGATTCTGTATCTTGATTGGCTGAGACCGAGTCACATGGCATTCGCTATTTTTGCTATCTTGCTGTGCACTGCCAAAAGTACTATGCCCATAGCAACCGAGGTATACCCGTAGCAACCAGAGTACTATAGACATTGTGTGCAAATGCATACGGTGTGTGCATTACGTGTTGCTTGTTGCGCGTTTGTTTCCAAATGCTAGTGCTACAGAGCTGGCCTCGCCTCGGGAAAATACAATGCTTCATGGATCACCTCGGGAGGCTACTTTTACTACAACACTCGAAGCAGTCAATATTTGTGTACTATTCACCCTCTAACCATACTAACAAAACTTTTTGTTCTCAATTAGCTGGAATATTTCAGGAAAATTGAAGATTGAAACTGGTTTCTGTTCTCATTTTGACTGCCCTTTATCTTTGTGTTGTCAGGTATTTCAAGGTGCTTGTTCAAGAAGCTAGTCTCAAGATTGACAACGGTTTCCTGCTGTCTGTCTTAGACATCGTCTCTGGACTGCAAGAGGAAGAAGATGAGGTGAGTTGACAACGCCCACACCCAGCTCCTTGTGTCAGCATTTTCCAGTGCCCCAATTGGGCAATATCTTTGTTCAAGGGGTGCTAGTCAGAAGCCATAAACCAGTATGCCATACAGCCAGGGAGTACGCTCATAGTCATGATACAGACCTGGGAAATAGCAAACGGGGATCACTCTGAATAGTGGCATTATGTCAGAAAAGCATGAAACAATTCAGCTAGCAAATGCTGGTACAAAAAGCCCCTTAAATTAATTGTCTAACATTGAATAGACCATTCATTTCTTTTGGATTTAGCTGTAATGTATATTACTTTTTCCTTTCTAACAGGTTGTATCATTGCAAGCCGATCTGACCTACATACAACGCTCTCTCCGTGATTCTTCCTCAGCGGTTGCAAACGGCAAGACGCCCATATACTTCGAGTACTTTCATCTTTCTCCACTCAAGGTCAGAGCATGGATTATATAACAAGACTAAGGCCAAAAAAAAAAAATATTCGGTCTCTGGTCAGACCAAAGTTCCGGAATTGACGCGGCCACGCGGCTTTTTTTTTTTTTTTGCTTTTTTTTTTTTTTTCAAGCATGGATTGTACAGACAAGGTGGGTACTATTTTGCTTTTTTGGTGTCCTCATGTACATTAGTGTCCTCCATAATTTGCCTTGGTGCTTTCGATCATTTTGCCTTGGTGCAATTTCCCATTCCTTGGTGCTCTTTGGTAAAAAAAAATTGAGGAGGTGCGGAAATAGAGGGCGCTGTTGGAGCTACCGCGGAACATTTTGGGGAAAAAAAGATCGACGCGCATGATTAAAATCGACGCGCGCGCTGACCAGAGACCGACTTATTTTTTTTTTTGGCCTAACCATCAAAATTTATTGTTATACCTCTGTCTTGGATACTATATTTTTTATAAGCCTAAAACGATCATGGATTAAGTTTATAAAAAGTCATGGCACACTCCCTGTGGGATATCACGATTGTAGTCTTCTCTATCCTTTGCAGATCATAGTGAGCTTGTCCCTGAGTGGGGAGCCCCATGTTGTTGCCAGGCCAACCAGCTTCAAGAAGGATCTGGTGCGATTCTTTGTCGAGTCGGTCGGTTCAACGCTCACTGAGGTGACTGAGGTGGAATTGAAGTGAGTAACGAGTAGCAAGATGCAATAAACAGTTGCATGCCATTTAGCTTCATTTTCAGTCTTGCTTGTACCATTTCCAAGAGTTTTCCCAAATTATTTGATTTTGTACTTATTTGATACCAACATTCGCTCATGACCAAAATGATGATGTCATATTTGGCGGAACATACGGTATTACAGCTTCTCCAAATGGTTTTTTTTTGGGGGGGGAGGAATTCAGGAAGTCGTGCGTACTTCGCGCCCGAATCAGTACAGTGCAGTACGCGCACGCAGTGTCCCGTCCACAGAGCTCTCAGAAGAGGTAAAAACGTGCCCTCTTTTGTTGGCGCATGGAGCCCATACAGTGTGTAAAAAACATGTTGGCGAAGGGCAAAACCCAATGTTGAAGAAGTACAATGGTTCAATTTCAAGCAAGTCTAGTACCCTGACTACATCTTCACATTTCTTTACTAACAGACTGGCCTTCTTTGAGAGAACCAATGTCTTGTTGACCTCTGACCAGCTGTTGGAAGATGTCAAAGGTCATTACATCTCTCAAGGAATCAAGCAGGCGTATGTCTTCATCCTGGGCTTGGATGTCCTGGGCAATCCCTACGGTCTCTTCAGAGACGTCAAGGAGGGAATCAGTGACTTCTTCTACGAGCCCTATCTTGTAAGTTCAGTTTTTCTAAGTCTTGATTTATAATTCCTGAAACTTGAGACCGACTGGTTTAAGCCCCAGTCACACATTTACGGTTTGGAGCTACGGATCTGCACGGTTTAAAATTCCAGATAAACCGTGGGAGTACCGTAATAATATATAGTACCTCCGTGGTTATCCGTCCTCTTCCTTGGGTATTCGTGGAGGGGCAACGGAAGTTTTAAACTGTTTGAAACTTCCATGGTGAAACGTCATGAAAATCAATCCGTAGCGCAACTGTGGGACATCTGTAGGACAACCGTGGCTATGCGTACACATTCTTGGAGATTTGTAGGTCATTCATGGTAGAAATCTCTACGAATTTGCTTCGAATGTCCTACGGATGTGCTAAGGTTCTGCTAATGTTGTACTATGAATATCGACACATTATTCATAGTCCACTGTTGCATTTGGTTGCACTTAGCAGGGTAACTGCTTGCTGCATGAATATCCAAAAGGTCAAGTCACAGCATGTTAAACAAGTCACTCACTCGCTGTCTCTTTCTGTTTGATACTCTTCCCTAGGGTGCCATCCAGGGTCCGGGAGAGTTTGCTGAGGGTCTAGCCAGAGGTGTTCAGAGCTTGCTTGGACACACTGTGGGTGAGTTCACACTACCGACAACTCTAAACCAAAATGGTCAAAATTCTCATGATTCGTTTTCAGATTTTAATGCAGTTTCAGACAGCGTCCCACTGCACTGTGCAGCATAACAATGACAATGAGTTATGTGCTTGAAAAGGTGTCTTGCTGGTCGATTTGAATGTACCAGGGTTTGCGTTGTCCTTGACGTGAGAGCATTGTTTATTCCATATAGGCAGTAGAAGGGACTAAACATGAATGGTGTCTGTATGAAGGTGAGGATGGTATGGCACACGTAGGTTAAGAAAAAATTGGAGTCGGAGTAATTCGGGGCAAGACTATGAAGACTATTAGCCATTTCGGTATTTCAATTAGGTAGCCAAGGTCAAAGGTCATTCCGGATAATGATGCTATGCGATGTTAAGCGAATGCCCATTCCTTTCCCATAGCTGGTTCTAATTGTCATACAGGATAATCTTACAATGTCTGTTGCCGTAAGTTACTGAGTCTGATGTCTACTTTGTTGCAGGTGGCGTTGCTGATACACTTCACGGTCTCTCGGGCACCTTAGGCAGAGCTCTGGCCGTCCTGTCCTTCGATGAGGATTACCAGAGGGTGGGTGGACAGTGACTGGAATACCCTGGAAATTCCCTAATTAAACATCTAGTTCTTTTTTACTACCATCACAATGTAAACATACGCTAAGGATGTAAGGGTAGTTTGCTATACATCTCCTGCAACACAGGCATTTTTCAGTTGCATTATCCATGTTGAATAGGGTTGTAGACAATTTTGCAGAAAGAAATCGATTTAAACAGATAAGATTAAAATGTGATGCAATGATTGCACATGAATGACATGAGTTCATGTTGTTTAAATGGTTGTGTATGACAGAGACGACTTCAACGGTTGCAGCGACATCCCGACAGCTTGCCCAAGAGTTTCTTGTACGCTGGACAAGGATTTATCATGGTAAGTCTACAGCCAAACTATAACCAGTGATTTTCCCAATTTTGCAGAACACTAAAAACTCGGTAGAAAAAAATGCTTATATGCTTATATATGTAAGCGTTTTTGCCGAATTTTTAGCAGAAATTTTTCCCCCCCAAAAATGAGTTTGACAGAAAATTTAGCAGAATGAACTTTTTAAGCAGATTTCTAGCAGAATTCTGTAAATTGGTGATCTGACAGAAAAATTTGGCAGATTGGAAAAATATAGCTGATTTAAAAGAGCTTCAATTTGAGGTTTTCTGGCGTGTATTAGTACATAAATGAGTCACCGATTTGTGCTATAAATACACCTACGCCGTGTCGTGCTTATGCTGGTTTTGTAAAATGGATCGCAGGACGCGTCGCACCTGTGACACATCACAGGATACGACGAATCGCAGTGCTGCGATGCATCGTTAGTTATAAGTTATGAGTTTCATAAAATCGGAAGCTGAAATGATACCTGTGGGTTTTTTTTTTTTTGGCTCTTTGTCGATGACATTGTTTGAGTCGTTTCTTGTATAACTGAGGAAAGCTCCCATTAAATCCAATCTGTTGGTGTGTATGTTTCAGGGTATTGTCATGGGTCTGTCAGGGGTCTTCACAAGCCCCATCAAGGGAGCTCACGATGGAGGTCTCAAGGGCTTCTTCAAGGGCATCGGTAAGGGGCTACTCGGTCTGATCAGTAAGCCGGCAGGAGGATTGGTGGATGGAGTCACCGTCATCTTAGATGGGATCGAGAGAGCTACGGAGATGGGCGAGAACATCGTGATCAGGATGCGCATACCAAGGTTCATTGATCCTAACGTGGTAAGTCCGGGACTCAGATTGATAGCGTTTGCAGTCTCCTGAAGATTGCGGGAGGTTTATTCACCAAGTTTTTAAGAGGTCCTTCACAGACATTACATAACGCTGGAATTCGCTACATGCAAGGTTTGCAAATTGTTTATTCCCAAACCTCTGTGTTGTGATTCTGCAGGGTCTGGAGCCGTACTCACTGTATGAAGCCAAGGGCAACTCAATGCTTCACAAGATCCGTCGCAGTGATCTCTACAAGACAGATGTCTACTTCTTTCATGCTGTCGTCACGTCAGACAGCACGCCGGATGTAGTCCTCTTAACTAATAAGTATGTGAGAATCCATCTCAACACATTCCTTAAATCAGTCGATTTCCTCCTTTTTTTACATCCAAGACATTAAAAAATTTGTTTACAATTTTGTGCGGCTTTAATTTTACCTAAAGCCATTAGCCCTTGTCAGGGCCGGACTAAGTAATCGAAGGATTAAGATAGAATAGAGGGCTGGCCAGTTTACAGTTAGATTGACTGTTTTCTCTCGGAAGTTTCTAGTGGTGGTTACTCGCAATGAATTGAGCGACAAACAGAACACACAAATGAGAAGCACAAGAGGCAACCAGGACAAGTGAACATTTGGTCACCATAAGGGTTTGCTTTGTGGTTTCTCAGGAGGATCTTGCTATTGGAGAGATGCAGGTGGTGGGGAGGCTGGGACTTGGAGCAGTCAGATCTCTTCACTTCCCTCATTGGTGATCCGACGATCGGCCCAAACAAAATCATCTACAAAGTCCAGGTAGGTTTACGCATCAGTCACTTTACCACCTAGTGTAGGGGCTAGATGTTGTTTTCAGCAATGTTGCATATTTCATGAACCATATTGCATAATTTGTTCTTGACAGCCGGAGGGCTCGGATGTCGTCGAGCGAGAAATCCGATGTGATGACGAGGAGACTGCACAGGTGAGTGGTTGTTATCAATTCTTGCTTTGGAAGGAATGTCTCATCGGTAATTTATATTCATATTTTTTTAAATATACTGACTTGCTGCTATTTTTTTTAGTAATGGCGAGATAAACCAAAAGTGTGATGTCACAGGAGGGTGTTAACAGTATTTAAGTTAACTTTGTCAATGCTTTGTGGACATGGAATTTGAAGTACATTCCATTGGATTGTTGAAAGTTTGCAGTTATTTGTTCAGGGTTGGTAATGCCTTCTCTGTTTCGTCTAAGTTGTAATATTTGATCAGAAAGCTCTGATAAGCAGCACATGAATAAAATGACTTATTTTATACATTGTAACACAGTGGGTACTGCACAAGGTAGAGGAGGCCATGAACCAAGCTAGCCTGGTCAGCCCTGCTACTGATGCCTTCCTGACAGTAACAGATCACTGATAGACAAGACCAGGCTAAGTACACAGCAATGCCAGGTCAGTGACCTTAACCTTGTATACACTGCAAAAATGTATACACTGTATACAAAATGTATACACTGTGTACAAAATGTATGAACTGTATACAAAATGTATGAACTGTATACAAAATGTATGAACTGTATACAAAATGTATGAACTGTATACAAAATGCATGAACTGTATACAAAATGCATGAACTGTATACAAAATGCATGAACTGTATACAAAATGCATGAACTGTATACAAAATGCATGAACTGTATACAAAATGTATGAACTGTATACAAAATGTATGAACTGTATACAAAATGTATACACTGTATACAAAATGTATACACTGTATACAAAATGTATACACTGTATACAAAATGTATACACTGTATACAAAATGTATACACTGTATACAAAATGTATACACTGTATACAAAATGTATACACTGTATACAAAATGTATACAAATATAAACAATGTATTACAGTATGTATACTACTGTGCACTGTATATGTATAACCACGGAGGAGGGTCATTATGTAGAGTTTTCCCTCCTGTGATGAAAAAAAAAGTAAATATCGGGGAAAAAATTAACGGCAGAAATGCTCCAAAGTATTGGTTTATAGGCAAGCTATAGCTGAATGTACTATTGCAGTCAATATAAAGACTGTTCCAAGTAATTTAAATGATTTTTAAGATATGTTCAGTCAAACAGTAACTAGTATAATGTGTAAGTGAAGGATAATGTTTACTGTCACAAAGTATTACTTGATGGTTTTATGACATATGTTTATTTTATTTTGTTTGTTTTCTGTGACATTTCCAAAGGTAACGATCCATTTAACCTTAGTAAAGGACAGCATACATTGTAACGTGCATAAATTTAACACAATTGTACTTTATTGATATTTGGTTAGTTTTCGAATGTAATTTTGAGTGGCAATCCTTGTCTGGCAAAACTAACTGTACTAGTCACAGAAATATATTTCCGTTGCTGCTTTTTACTGAAAGTACTAAAAGTCAGTATTTGTTTCCATTTTTGTTTTTGATTTCATCATTTTAGCACATTTTTTTTTAAAACACGTAATGCTTTCGTCAAATTTCATGCTATTTTTTTTTTTTGTGGGGGTGTTTCTATATATCATAAATTACGAAAAATGTGTTTACATTTGAAAAAGTTTTAAAGAAAATATCAATGAACAATTTCTAACACATCTAAGTTTGTTACATTTTCTTTTGATTTTAATTTGTCTTCATTTTCCCAGTTTTGTTTTCATTTTAAACCAAATTTTATTAAACGGTGATAATTTTGAATGAAAGCATACATGAACAATTATATTCCCTGCTTGTAAAAATTATGCATATTAAGCAAAGCTATGCTTTTTACATTTTTACCGTTTTGGGGGGTTGCACTATTTTAATTCTCTCCGTTTCAGATTGTGCATTTTTTTTGTAGTAATGCATTATTTTGAAGTCATATTTTAATAAGTTAATTTTCACTTGAGTTTCGCACTCGTTATTGATGTAACATCAGCAAAAGACCACCGATTTCATTTGGTCTGATTAGCATTTGGACTTAAAAGTATAAACTGGCCAAAACTTGACGGCATCACCTTGCGTAAGCTTTAAGTTTGTTTAACTTGTCGTGTAATATGGATTGTGTTTCATCTTTGTTTTAGTGGCATCCAAATTTAAAAAATGTGTGAAATTGTACTGTTGTATTGCGTTAAGCTCTGAAATTAGCTTTTTCTTGTGTATCTTCTGTTAGATAAACACTTGTAACCGATAAAGTCCTTTCGTAATCTGTCGAAGCTCCATGCCCAAGTACTCCTACAACGGCCAGAAAAGGAGAGTTGGGGGAAACCTAGACTGGTTCTTGTTCCATCCACTACGTATTTAAAATGATCCAAAGTTATTTGGGGCGGGGATAAGTCTGGGAGACCATCGCAAGTTAAATTCAAACGTATTCGCGCGCCAACCACCTGACGCTCACACGAAGACGCTGTGGCTATAGCTTTGGCACATTTAGTCGGGCGTACTTCATGCCCAAACCAGTACATTTCGTTACGCACACGTGTAGGGGGCTCTCAAAAGTGTTAAAAATGCGCCCTCTTTTGGAAACGCACGGAGCCCATACTAAAGCATGGCAGGAACAGACATTAACTTGAAAACTAGCTGCATTCCTTAACCAAATGACCAAAGTCTCTGTCCCGCAGGATTTGAAATGTTAACCACACTCCTTGTATGAGACATGAGGCAGTCTTGGATTGAAAACTTGAAGACAATTTATTGATATAGGCATTACAATGCGTATAGCTGTAGTTACAAACATTTATGTGTAAGTGCATAAGTTTAATAATGAGTATGTTACTGCTATTCTTTCTACATTACAAGTATAAATGTACCTGATATGTAGCTTTACATTGTGAATACACATAGTGTTCAGCAGGTGTATCATTCAGTTAATAGTACATTCCATGTTGTAGAGTTCTATCACCCATTCCCTCTTTGAATTAGTGTAAAAGACAGATACGTGGTAAGAAAAAGGGGGCGGGGACAGAATTGGCCAATAGAGGGAGGGGGATATATTGCAAGCATTCTGAGATTGTACATGTTGAAAATGCTTAGTTTCTGTGCATTCCGACTGTAAAAGGAGACACACTCTCCTTGTGTTGTGCATTTTGGCCTATCCTGGTCTAACAGTGAGTTTGTGTGGGTCACGCATTCTTAGACCTGCTAAACAGCAGAAAACATACAATTTCTTTTAAATCTGATCCAGCAACCTGCAACGCATTATTATTAGATAAATTGGCAACACATATAAAAAGCCATTTTTTATGGTTTGTTGCTTACCATAAATTTTAGAAAGCTCAAAAAGACACATCATGTCACAAGAAATCAAGAGTGGCAAGTCAACATTATGTACCACATTCAAATATTCTGTAATTCTGTAATATATCTATAAACACTCTAGATATGCAATTATATTTAGTGACCAATCAACATGAATGCCATATCAAAGATGGTTGCTTATCAGTTCTTTCTCAAATTCCTGTTATAGCTACCTTTGTGCAATATCAGAAAACTATATATTGGAAATAAATTTTGAAAGCTGTCAAATGCTATTCACCAGTTTCATTGATGAATACAATAAAAAAAACTGGCATGGTTATAAATTCTTGCATTGAATTTCTTCATTATTCATAATTGTTGACATTTATACATGGAATATTCAGTAATGTGTGATTGCAGTAAAATAATTCAAATTGTTGAATTGCGGTTTGCCTTCATAAGCCATTTGAGAGTTAAATTTCAATAAAATCTGGAACGCTGACTTAATCCAACGCTTTGCACATTTTAAATTTGAATTCTCCAGACCAAAGAGACTGTTGCTATGTGACATGATTCAGGGCAAGCCTTATGCTAGCAACCCCCAGCTCCAGCATGGTCCGGTGTCTTTGTGCCATTCTCAGCCATTGTGCAAGAGCTTGCCCTGAATCATGTGATTAGCAACGGCGTCTTTGGTCTGGAGAATTCAAAGTTAAAATGTGCCAAGCATTCTGAGCAAGTCAGTGTACCAGATGTTTTTTCAAATTTAAACCCCAAAGAGTATAGGTCACTCGCAAATAGCTGATTGAAATCCTTAGCACTCGAAGGCCTTCTCACAACCGTTGGAATCAACGCATTTACCGTAAGCAGAGCCTGGTCCCATGAAAAAGAGGTCGACAATTAATTTATGTCAGCATGCTCTTGACATGGGACTGGTTGTACTTGCGTAGTTTCGCATCATCCCCATACACAAAGTGCTGTCTCATATCTGGGCTGTACCTAGATGCAGGTGGATGTCGTCCCAAGGCCTCGCTCAGTGTACGCGTGTAGTGAGGTGCGTTACCACAACACAGACCCACGTACTGAATGCCCAATTCAAGGCACTGTTCGCCAAAGGCAACGATGTCATCGCGGGTACAGGCGGCACAATCCAGATTGGTTGGGAAGAGTTGTTTTCCTAAGGAATGGAAAACCAACATCAAGAGACCAAGAATCACTTGTCAAATCAGATTTTTTTTCTTTCCTTTTTTAATGTTGATTAAATAAAATAAAAATTTGGATGCTTTATTTTGCTCTGATGATTGCATGTACACATGTATGCAATCAGAAGATTCATGAATTATGCATCAAGTTAAAATGCTTCTCATGAATTATTCAATGTCCTTCCCACTTTGACCCACCTGTCAAGGGATCTTTCAAAGCCTGCATGTTGGGGGCGTCCTCAGTCGTACGGTAAACCACAGGAAGGGCAGCGATAGGGACCTACACAACAAAGACAGAGTGATGATACTATCTGCTGAAGCAGTGACACACATAGGCTTACCAGACTGCGCAGAATGCTATGTGGAATTTACAGCATGCATTTTCCAGTGTTTGAGTACTCGTAACCGAGTACACACAAGTACTCGGCCCGTACTCGACTATCAGTACTTGAACATTATTTGGACTGAGCCCGTACTCGATTCTGTGTACTCAAAGAAGAGAAGCAATTGTAGTTGAATGTCTTTAACCCAAGGGCACAAACACCATGTTCCTGGCAGGGTTTGAACCCACCATCGTACATGAATTAAACACTGTAACCACTGGACCTCTACGTTTTACCGTTGTTTTTGTTTTGGGAGGAAAGAGTTAGAAAAATGGCAAAATTCATTTAAAACATGAGGCGTCGTCTTCTTGAGAGGGCAAAATATTTCCTGGAAGGAACATAAGACAAAGGTGGAAATATATGGCAACATCCAACCTATCTCAACTACAGATGCACAGGGCAGAGCCCGCCTTGCCGGCCACTGCTACAGAGCCAAAGAGCAAGTTGCCTCCAACCTCATCTGCTGGAGATTGCCTTGCCCCAACAGAGGGAGGAGACCCCTCAACTACGTTGACACTGTATGCAGTGATGTGAGCCAGCACTTTGATGACATCACCACGGCCATGGCTGACAAGCGAGTCTGGAAGATTTTGGTTGCATCCATCTCGGCTGCGACCGCCAAGTGATGATGATGATTTAAAACATTTGGTTGAAATGTAAAATATCCTTGTGAGATTATGGACTTGTTTACCTTGAGTACTTTCTTGAGTTGTTTCAGGAGTGGTAGGGTAGTGGCCGGACCTCGGGCACAATTCAGACCCAGGACATCAGCACCGGCTGCCTCAAGTTGCTGGAATGCTGAACACATCTCCACACCATCCAGTGTACAGAGCTTACCATCAAGCACATTCTGGTAGAAACCCATGGTTATAACAGCAGGGAGACCTAATACATGGAGGACAAACAAAATTGGACCATGTAGAGCAGCTATGTCGGTTAGTAAGCTCATGCAGTCGCAAAACTACAGGGGCCACGAGGTGAGCCCCTTTGAGACCTTAGCCTGTTCCTTCACCACCCCTGCTCATATCGTCACCAACACCACCAACTGACACTCAAGTGCTAGAGTTCCCCTCCAGAATATTAGCCCCCTTCTAGCGTCCCCTGCAAATCCGAACTCAGTGACGCCTCTGTGTCATAGGTTCTTGTCCCATTTTGTTCTCGGCAAGCAGTGAGCATACGCTTACATCTCAGCTCAGCATGAACAAACAATGAAAAAAGAATGACCATGCATGTTATGCTGTTACCTTTGCCATATTTCTTGATTGCTTGCAATGCCATCATTGCTTCTCCCAGATCACCGAATGACTCTCCAACAATGTAATCAGCCCCCTCCTCCACCGCCCACTCTATCTGCTCCTGTTTGGGGGAAATTTCATCATCACACTAGGAATGTTTTTCTTATACAAAAAGATCATTTATCAACCCCTTGACAGGGACATTCACTGAGGTGCTTAATACCCAACTTTACTTGTGTACTGAATGGAGTGCTGTGGCCTCGTGGTTAAGGGCACTGTGGTGCATGTGCCCTTGGACAAGGCGCTTTAATTGTTACTCATTGCTTCTCTCCATCTAGGAGAAAATGGGTACCTGTGAGGGCAGAGATGGTTATTGTGGTTGATTAGCTTCATTGTGGCTAACGGGCTGCATCGAGCTGTATACTCCCCAGGGTGCTGAGATGGTATTTGGAATGTTTCATGGGCCCAATGATCGAGCAGGGGTTATAATGATATAGTGCCTTGAGAACCAGTCCTGGTGGACACATGCACTTTATAAAATACCCACTATTATTGTGTTTCCTTTCAACTAACGTGACTGCTCAAAACTTAGTGAAGTACAATGTTCTTACAGAAACGGCAGTCAAGATCTACTTTGGCAAAGTTGAAAGGCTGTTCTATATCTTACCTTGAAGAGATCATCAATTTTGGGTTGGCAGTTGGGATCATTGGAGTCAAACAAGGTTGTGTTGCAGATATTTCCAGCCATGAGAGTACCTGTTTGGTCGGCCACCTCCCTAGCTAGTCTTAAGGCCTGCCTGTTCATCACTTCTAGATCCTTGCCCCGGTCAATCAAGGCTAACTTTTCACGATGGGCATAATACTGCATAAACAAGAGCATTTTAATTCACATTCATGGAGATAGTCAGGGAGAAATACCACGTGTAAGGATTCTGTAGCCAATCACACATCTCCTGTCTTCCAATGTTTTGAACTTTTTTTTTTTACATGCCTTCATTTGTACCCTTATTCCGATGACTTTGGCGGGGGTTATTTCCCATACATCCCCCCCTAAAAGAAATACAGTCATCCCTGCAAAGACATACCGTGAATGCAAGAACAACCTCGCTCCCAGCGTGAACGAACTCCTGATACTGCTGACGCACAGAGGACCACCTCTGGGACCACCTCTGGGACGAAGGCCCCAGCCTTGAGGTATCCCCGGCGCTCAAACACAAACAGGTATCCCTCAGCGCATAGAACTCGCCCTCCATTGCTCAGTCGCTCCAAAAGACCTACCACTGCAAAGGAAGGATTAAAGTAGAATAACTGCTGATCTCAAAGGGCCATCCTCATGTCCCCTTTGTATACCTATCCCACTGACTGACTGACTCCCCAGTTGTCACTAGAACTGGGCAGTGCCATCGGGATTACCCCCATGAGACTTAACCAACTTACTTTTTTCTACAAAATAATAAACGACACAGAACTTTCACATAAATCCATCATCCAATATTTGGTCCCCAAACCAGCACAGGCTCGTAGATTTCACAGCCATCAGTTCACAGAAAATGCAGCTAGAACAGTTCAATCATTTCTACCCAGGACTATCCAGAAACAGACCAGGATCCCTAGCGCCCCGAACCACAACACCTTTAAAGATTTAGTTAAGTACCACTTCCCCAAGGCTCCTCGTTCAAGACTTCCAGGTGGAGTATTCAGGAGGAAATTCACCAACACCAGCCATGCAAGCCCAATGAATGAGTTAAATCTGGTCTATTAATTGTGTAGACATGAGATGCATGAACAAAACTTCTAGAGAATCGCCATTCTGAATCAATTATTGAATATCTCCATATCTTGGACCAGCGTTGTTAGGATTGCCTGGTCTTGGTCCTTTTAATTCTGTTATTTCCCAACTTCATCATGAGCTATAATGTATGTCATTAACGTGCGTTCTGAGACTGATAATTTACCAGTGTCCAGGTATTTTCCGATATTCCTACGTGCCTTTAAAACCAAGGGCAGGGTGTCAACTATCTGGTAGGGTTTGGTATTTGCACCAGACCGCATATATACCCCGTTTTTTGATTTTTTTGTTTTGTTTATTGGGGCAAGCATTTTGTGTGCACCCGCATTAGAAGTGAACTTGGCTGAGTCCCTGAATAGATGTAGATGTAGATGCATGTCACTGTGTGCACTGTGAGTGGGTCAATCAGTCATGCAAACAGAGCTGCATGCACGCTTGAGGTGCTGCGTACAAAACTTGCTTGCTTTGATCTCTGATCCCGTTCATATAGTTCAAGGACTATATAGTTTTAGCTGCTGGCCGGGGCGCAGGCTATTGGTAGCGTTCAGTGTGTAACAATGCTGTCTGCTTATTATTAAGTCTATGGATTGCCCAGGCTCTTGTGGTGTACAAAAGCTGGCTGGCGATCATGCTTGAACCAATGCTTGGGCGAATCACGATGATAGCAATCAATTTATGGGAAAGATTTCCATATACGAAGTTCAATCATCACCCTGTGTACAAACCCTATGAGATTGGACTGAAAAATTATAAGTGTTTTCTAAGAAAATGCTTGTACATGTATTTTCTCACTGCTCAAATTGACTTTTATGACATGAAATTGCTATCTGGGGGCTTGTTAGTCAATACAGAGGAAAATTAGTGAACTTCGTATATGGAAATCTTTCCAATCTTTGCAGACTGCAAACAATTGAGAATTAACATACGAAGCCTTTTTTATTGGCCAAGTGTGATTGTGAATCAAATTCAGACATTTCAGTCAACAACATTTTAGGTTGAGAGAGAAAAAAAGAAATTTGTTTTACCTTTCTTCTTGTCCGACATTTTGCTATGTATATAGTTGCAGAGATCTGTGTATATAACTTAGTACCGGTGCATTCAGACTCGGTCCGCGAGGTTTTCTATTCGTTGCCAGCTGATACAATGACGTTCCCCTTGTGTCGTGTCGAACCTTTTGTACCGGAGTAGTGTAGTAAACCGGTCGATCGATGCCCAACGTGACACTTGCCTGTATCTCATTGACTTTTGACATTGACTGTTGATATTGTGGCTTATCATTTTAACGTCAATCTCCCATTGGCCAAACGTGTAAAAGAGGGCCCTGAAAACATTCCCACCCGAATATTTGGGGCAATAGTCCAAGATAGTTATTTTCTTTATGTATAATTTCTGATCAACATTTGGGATACAATTCGGTGCATGTTTGAGTATTAAACCATGATTCTCTTGCATCAGTAGGCATTTTTTTTCCACCTTTCAGAAAAAACCCGTTAAGTTTCGGCCCAATTTCATTAAAAATGTAAGGGGAATGCCTTGCAATTCAAGGGACTAGCTCCCAGACGTCTTCCCAGCAAGTTTGAAGAAATTTTACTCTCAGCCAAAACATTTGAATGAATTTTGGCCAAAGATTGACTTTTTCCCAAAATGCCCACAAATGCCTTTGGATGCATGCGAACCGTAATTCGATATTCAAACGAGCATATTTTGCAAGATTTTTTGGAATTATTGGGGAAAATAATGTTTTCAAATTTCTGACGCAATATTTCCCCTTCAAGGCACATTTGCAAAGCATACGAGTGGAAACGTATTCTAAGGACCCTCACACGTCTTCACAGCAACTTTCAAGGAATTTCAGTTTTTAGCCAAATTTCCAAACAATTAATACTCCAAATTACTCAGAAATGCATATCGATGCTTCAGACCTTCAAAATTTGCTAAATTTCGGCTCAAATTGGGGAATTTTTGGCTGAATAAAATCATAAATTTATCCTATTTAACCTGAAATTTTCGACGTATTTCATTTTAAAAGGCATATCTGTCCAATGTAAGAGTGGAAACGTGCTCTAGGGACCCTGACGCATCTTACTAGCAAGTTTTAAGAATTTTAATTTTTCACCCAAAATTGGAAAAAAATGTAAGGGGTTAGCCTTACTTTTTTATCAATTTTGGCCAAAAAATGAATTTTCTCCAGATTACTCAGCAATGCATATCGATGCTTAAGGATCACGATTTAGTATTCAGACCTTCAAAATTTGCTACATTTCGGCTCAAATTGTGGCATTTTTGGCTAAAAATCAAACATTTTCCCTATTTTACCTGAAATTTTCGACGTATTTCCTTTTAAAAGGCATATCCGTCCAATGTAAGGGTGGAAACGTGCTCTAGGGACCCTGAGGCATCTTCCTAGCAAGTTTTAAGACATTTCATTTTTCACCCAAAATTGGAAAAAAATGTATGGGGTTAGCCTTACTTTTTCTATCAATTTTGGCCAAAAAATGAATTTTCTCCAAATTACTCAGGAATGCATATCGATGCTTAAGGATCACGATGTGGTATTCAGACCTTCAAAACTTTGGCCAAAATTGTGACATTATTGGGTAAATTTCGTATATTTGACCTATTTTACCTCAAATTGTGGACGTAATATTTCCTTTTTAAAGGCCTATCTGTCGGTTGTAGGAGTGGAAACGTGTTCTAGGGACCCTGAGGTATCTTCCTAGCAAGTTTCAAGAAATTTCATTTTTTGGCCAAAATTGAAAAAAAATGTAAGGGGTTAGCCTTACTTTTTTTTCGATTTTTGCCAAAAAATGAATTTTCTCCAAATTACTCAGAAATGCTTAAGGATGCTTTGGGAGCATGATTTAATATTCAGACCTTCAAAATTCGCTAAATTTTGGCCAAAATTGTGACATTATTGGGTAAAATTTCGTATACATGAATTTGACCTATTTTACCTCAAATTGTCGACGTAACATTTCCTTTTTAAAGGCCTATCTGTCGGATGTAGGAGTGGAAACGTGTTCTAGGGACCCTGAGGTATCTTCCTAGCAAGTTTCAAGAAATTTCATTTTTTGGCCAAAATTGAAAAAAAATGTAAGGGGTTAGCCTTACTTTTTTTTCGATTTTGGCCAAAAAATGAATTTTCTCCAAATTACTCAGAAATGCTTAAGGATGCTTTGGGAGCATGATTTAATATTCAGACCTTCAAAATTCGCTAAATTTTGGCAAAAATTGTGACATCATTGGGTAAAATTTCGTATACATGAATTTGACCTATTTTACCTCAAATTGTCGACGTAACATTTCCTTTTTAAAGGCCTATCTGTCGGATGTAGGAGTGGAAACGTGTTCTAGGGACCCTGAGGTATCTTCCTAGCAAGTTTCAAGAAATTTCATTTTTTGGCCAAAATTGAAAAAAATGTAAGGGGTTAGCCTTACTTTTTTTTCGATTTTGGCCAAAAAATGAATTTTCTCCAAATTACTCAGAAATGCTTAAGGATGCTTTGGGAGCATGATTTAATATTCAGACCTTCAAAATTCGCTAAATTTTGGCCAAAATTGTGACATTATTGGGTAAAATTTCGTATACATGAATTTGACCTATTTTACCTCAAATTGTAGACGTAACATTTCCTTTTTAAAGGCCTATCTGTCGGATGTAGGAGTGGAAACGTGTTCTAGGGACCCTGAGGTATCTTCCTAGCAAGTTTCAAGAAATTTCATTTATTGGCCAAAATTGAAGAAAAATGTAAGGGGTTAGCCTTACTTTTTTTTCGATTTTGGCCAAAAAATGAATTTTCTCCAAATTACTCAGAAATGCTTAAGGATGCTTTGGGAGCATGATTTAATATTCAGACCTTCAAAATTCGCTAAATTTTGGCCAAAATTGTGACATTATTGGGTAAAATTTCATATACATGAATTTGACCTATTTTACCTCAAATTGTAGACGTAACATTTCCTTTTTAAAGGCCTATCTGTCGGATGTAGGAGTGGAAACGTGTTCTAGGGACCCTGAGGTATCTTCCTAGCAAGTTTCAAGAAATTTCATTTTTTGGCCAAAATTGAAAAAAAATGTAAGGGGTTAGCCTTACTTTTTTTTCGATTTTGGCCAAAAAATGAATTTTCTCCAAATTACTCAGGAATGCTTAAGGATGCTTTGGGAGCATGATTTAATATTCAGACCTTCAAAATTCGCTAAATTTTGGCCAAAATTGTGACATCATTGGGTAAAATTTCGTATACATGAATTTGACCTATTTTACCTCAAATTGTCGACGTAACATTTCCTTTTTAAAGGCCTATCTGTCGGATGTAGGAGTGGAAACGTGTTCTAGGGACCCTGAGGTATCTTCCTAGCAAGTTTTAAGAAATTTCATTTTTTGGCCAAAATTGAAAAAAATGTAAGGGGTTAGCCTTACTTTTTTTTCGATTTTGGCAAAAAAATGAATTTTCTCCAAATTACTCAGCAATGCTTAAGGATGGTTTGGGAGCATGATTTAATATTCAGAGCGGCTAAATTCGCTAAATTTTGGCCAAAATTGTGACATTATTGGGTAAAATTTCATATACATGTATTTGACCTATTCCACAAATTGTGGACGTAACGTTTCCTTTTTAAAGGCCTATCTGTCGGATGTAGGAGTGGAAACGTGTTCTAGGGACCCTGAGGTATCTTTCTAGCAAGTTTCAAGAAATTTCATTTTTTGGCCAAAATTGAAAAAAATGTAAGGGGTTAGCCTTACTTTTTTTCGATTTTGGCCAAAAAATGAATTTTCTCCAAATTACTCAGAAATGCTTAAGGATGCTTTGGGAGCATGATTTAATATTCAGACCTTTAAAATTCGCTAAATTTTGGCCAAAATTGTGACATTAATTGGGTAAAATTTCATATACATGTATTTGACCTATTTCACAAATTGTGGACGTAACGTTTCCTTTTTAAAGGCCTATCTGTCCGATGTAGGAGTGGAAACGTGTTCTAGTGACCCTGAGGTATCTTTCTAGCAAGTTTCAAGAAATTTCATTTTTTGGCCAAAATTGAAAAAAATATAAGGGGTTAGCCTTACTTTTTTTTCGATTTTGGCCAAAAAATGAATTTTCTCCATATTACTCAGAAATGCTTAAGGATGCTTTGGGAGCATGATTTAATATTCAGAGCGGCAAAATTCGCTAAATTTTGGCCAAAATTGTGACAATATTGGGTAAAATTACGTATACATGAATTTGACCTATTTTACCTCAAATTGTGGACGTAATATTTCCTTTTTTAAGGCCTATCTGTTGGATGTAGGAGTGGAAACGTGTTCTAGGGACCCTGAGGTATCTTCCTAGCAAGTTTCAAGAAATTTCATTTTTTGGCCAAAATTGAAAAAAAATGTAAGGGGTTAGCCTTACTTTTTTTTCGATTTTTGCCAAAAAATGAATTTTCTCCAAATTACTCAGAAATGCTTAAGGATGCTTTGGGAGCATGATTTAATATTCAGACCTTCAAAATTCGCTAAATTTTGGCCAAAATTGTGACATTATTGGGTAAAATTTCGTATACATGAATTTGACCTATTTTACCTCAAATTGTCGACGTAACATTTCCTTTTTAAAGGCCTATCTGTCGGATGTAGGAGTGGAAACGTGTTCTAGGGACCCTGAGGTATCTTCCTAGCAAGTTTCAAGAAATTTCATTTTTTGGCCAAAATTGAAAAAAAATGTAAGGGGTTAGCCTTACTTTTTTTTCGATTTTGGCCAAAAAATGAATTTTCTCCAAATTACTCAGAAATGCTTAAGGATGCTTTGGGAGCATGATTTAATATTCAGACCTTCAAAATTCGCTAAATTTTGGCAAAAATTGTGACATCATTGGGTAAAATTTCGTATACATGAATTTGACCTATTTTACCTCAAATTGTAGACGTAACATTTCCTTTTTAAAGGCCTATCTGTCGGATGTAGGAGTGGAAACGTGTTCTAGGGACCCTGAGGTATCTTCCTAGCAAGTTTCAAGAAATTTCATTTTTTGGCCAAAATTGAAAAAAATGTAAGGGGTTAGCCTTACTTTTTTTTCGATTTTTGCCAAAAAATGAATTTTCTCCAAATTACTCAGGAATGCTTAAGGATGCTTTGGGAGCATGATTTAATATTCAGACCTTCAAAATTCGCTAAATTTTGGCCAAAATTGTGACATCATTGGGTAAAATTTCGTATACATGAATTTGACCTATTTTACCTCAAATTGTCGACGTAACATTTCCTTTTTAAAGGCCTATCTGTCGGATGTAGGAGTGGAAACGTGTTCTAGGGACCCTGAGGTATCTTCCTAGCAAGTTTTAAGAAATTTCATTTTTTGGCCAAAATTGAAAAAAATGTAAGGGGTTA